CAAACACACACATATAAACACAGATATGAAAGCAGTGCTTTCAAGACATTTACAAAAGAAGACAAAAGAAGACTCATATCCTCTAAAAATCGAAATATGTATAATTTAGTAATATTTGCACACAAACAATACTAGCTATCATACACCAATATATCTGCAAGCTTTGTCATAAATCTTTTTAATGATATATATATATTGATTCATTGGTTGGTTTAGATATATGCTATGTTTTTTATTCATGCGATGTAAATCTTTTTAAAAGCTGCAACATAAAAATTCAACTTTAGAGTCATTGTCTCTTGAATGTGGCTTTATTTTATTTTAAATTACAATTTGAAAATGATCATGTAAAAATAAATGTTAAAATAAATAAAATATCATTTTAAAATGCTAATTGCTGCAACACAGGCTCATTGGAAAAATGTTCCTGTATGGTTCGTAAGTATTTATCATTAGGATTAAATGAAACCTTATATGGTATGTCGTCCCTTTTAGACAGGCAGATAAGCATGCTTAGTTATGCTTTATAGGTATTCTCTGGTAATCATTACTGTGACTAATGTATACCTGGAACACCATTACCTCAACAATCCTGTTCTTATTGTGATTATGAAACGTATTAGGCTTTGCAAATTTCTACTATTTCATTTCCTGCTTAAAGAGGGAAAATAGTCAAAGGTAATTAAAGCAACGGAGAAGATGGATTTCTCAATATAAACCTATATTGTCCTTTATTACATCCCACTGGGAGAAAACACACACACACACACACACAGAGCGAGAGAGAGAGAGAGAGAGAGAGAGAGAGAGAGTCTGTTCAGCATAAACACACACCTCATTTATAAACCATGACCATCAACACATAACACATACATTAAAAAAGTAATGTGAACATTTTTTCTTATTATTTATACTTCCCAATTTTACCTGAAATAAAGCAGGGTTCTATTATAATAAACAGGGGTTACAGGGTCCATTGATGCTGCATGTTTAGAAAATTCACAAGAAATGTTAATGTCATCACAATGTCAACACAATCAGCATCACATGTTCACGATTTGTTCATTAGTTCACACGTTTTACATTGGGCCTGATTTGCATTCAGTCCGTTTATCCCCTTGTCACTAGCACCTCTTATAGTAATAATGTTCCTATCTGTTCTCCCTCAGGTCACACACACAAAGTTGGAGAACAATGTGTCATAAGCATTTCCATGTCCTGCTGTATGTTCCCATAACCTGCACCACAGGCATCTTTGATACAGAGCGTCTAAAGAGTCACGTCATTTCCATCCCCTGTACTGTATGTGTGGAGAGTTATTTATGCCATGCTGTTGGCATTTAGGTTATCATCCAATGTTTGTGTGTGTGTGTGTGTGTGTTGCAATGTGACAGTCTGCAGGTGAATCAAAGTTCAGATGTTGTCTCGGCTCTAGTGAATGTGAGAGAGGTATGAGTGGGTTGATGCCACATCAATCAGGTTTAGGGTGGCATTAAAATACTAAGTGATTTACACAGAGTGGGTGGAGATAAAATCTCAGTCTGACAGAGAAAAGGAGAGGGAGAAATGGTGTCGCATGTACAGACAACGTAGTTGGTAGCATATATTTATCAAAAGCTTTGCTAAAGTCTCGATATTACAAATTCTAACCAAGCATTTCAAATACTTCTTCCAGTAATAATCTATTATGCCATCCACAGAATTGTTTAGATGATATAGTTTAGAGTAGTACTATTTATAGAAATATGTATTATTATTATTATTGCAATAATAACAAGAACACATTTAAATTTACATTATATCGCAGTAATATTAACCCCTTTAGACCTGAAAAAAAAAAAAAAAAACAGTTTTCAGACTGACTGGTCCCTGAACCAGTCACAATGATAATATGACCAATAACTTAATCTGATTGATTCAGTCTTCACAGAAGACATGCATTGCTAAGCATGGGAAGTTGGATACTTCATGTTCATGGAAGCATCATCAATTTACAACTATTGTTATCTGTGGCGAGCAGGACGAGACCGATGTTGTGACTGCTGCTGAGCGACACTGGCACGAAGCACAGGTCTCGTATCTCTCAGGGATGAGTGGAAGCATAAAAGGAGGAGTGACAAAATAATATGATAGAAATTAGATAGTAAAAAAAAATATATATAATACCAATAGCTAATAATGATTTTGACATTATAAATATTATTAGTGTTATTTAGAAACACTTTTTTGTAGCCTATATTTTAGATTTTATATCTATATTATAAAAATATTTTTTAAAATTGTTTGAGCCTATGTTTTATGTTAATATGAATATGAGTATATGGATATGAGGTTGAAATGTAGGCTCCTCACTCTTACAAAATAAAGTTTACAAAAGGTTGTTTTTGTAGCAATGCCATAGACGAAACATTTTGAGTTCCCCAAATAACATTTTAGTAAAAGTTCTTAAAATGACCGTTTTTACAACATTTAATAATCTGAAAAACTTTTTTTCTCGACACCTTTTATGTTGACGGTTCTTCATAGAATCGTAGTCATAGATGCCAATAAAAAAAACCCAAACCCCCAAAAAAATTTTTTTAGAGTAGGCCTATGGGAGTGCGTTTGTTGAAGCAGTATCTGGATGGTGTGACCCCCCTCCTCTTTTCTTTCTTTCTCTGCAGTAGCCTACAGGATGTCTTTCATCCACCCAGAGGATCAAAAGCCCGTTAAAACTGACCCCAATGTATTTCTCTCTCTCTCACACGTCGTTTCCTCTGCCGATGCCCTTTTTTATCCAGAATGAGCACCTATTTCCTTTTTTAATTCTTTGCTCCTTACTCGCGCACACACTTATTCATTAATGGCTTAGGTCTATATCCTACGTTTAGAAGAATGTCCTGCCACATTCAAACACTATTTACGCTAAGCTTCCTCTATAGCTCATTTGTACGCTGAGCTGCCTCTAGCTTATAAATTTAGTACAGAGCTGCAGCTCTGCAAGTATAGGCTAAGTATAGAATTGTTAATAATATTGTTATTTATACTACTTAAATGTATAGGCTATCACATTTCCGTGTGCTATTTATTGGCACACAGAACCATTCACTCATATTTTCTAAATCATCTGAAAATTAAGTCCATGACATACCATATGATTCAGATCCTGGGAGACTTGAAATGACTACTCAGCAATCTCTGCTTCTGTAGCGCCCCCATCTGGTCATCATTGGCATAAGCATGTCCGTATAGTGAATGGACAGTCAAAGGATAGTTCAGTTCTACAAAGACCAGTTCGTTTCTACTTTATAAGTAGAACTCTCATTATGTGTACATTATTGTATTATGTGTATTTTGCCACTATTAATATCGTTAGGCTTAAAACATGTGTAAAAACAGGCCTCGTGTTCAGGGTGTTATCACAATAAGCAAATAATAGCCTATAGCCTACCTTTATGGTAATGAACCCCAATGTCTCATGCTGTTGTTTTCTTGTATAACAGAAAAATACAATTACAAATACCCTTTATAAATAAAAATACTCTTAAAATATTCACTATTAGGTAACCTGCGCAACCAAACTTGTGCCTTTTGGCTCGGCTTGAAAGAAAGACCTGAAAGTCTTAAATCCCCTATTGATTATTTAATTAACTGATAATTTAATTATGATGAATTCATTTTAGTGGCTTGGAATAGTATTTGTATCAATGCAACATATTCAGTTCAATGCACTGTGCAGTTCATCAAGACATCAAAAGCTCAAAATAATGTTATTACAGTAACAGTGTTCTGTGAGAGTAGTGTTTAGGTGTGTGTGTGTAATAGGAAGTCTATTCACAGCATTTCCTGTGCTGGCTCAGGACCCATGGGAACACAATGACGAACACATTCAAGCAGAACAATGATGAAGAGAAACTATCTTCTTCATGCTTCTGCCACCATCGTGTGCACACAGTGTCATCTGAGTGTAAAAGTGAATAAAAAAAATATGCACATTGAATTAAAAAAATGAAAAGTTCCACAAAAATGTTGTTCATCCACCATAGTACTGGTGTTTGTGGTCAGTTTAAGTCTTATTGCTGTGTTGTGACCCATGGTGTAGTAATTGCCGCTCTCATATCAGGAATGTAGAACCATCATCAACAGAACAAACATACAGTGTAGATCTTAAGTGAGTTATCTTATTTTACTAACATTTTCTCTGTTAATTAGCTGGACGGGTCTTTGGCGGTGGCCCTCTTGAGAAAATAGCCCAGGCTACATGACGTGTGTGTACACTGCTGAACATCCCCTGTGGTGCCGTCACACGCAACACAGCGCGTTAAGGCCGCAGGAAAGTCAAATTGGATTTGATTTCTTAGATTAGTTCAGAATGATTGAAAAATTGTTGTTCCCAAAAGCCCAAAAGGCCTTATCTGAGGGAAAGTATCTCTGCCGTGCATTTAAGGAGATAAGAGAGGGCATTATGGCGCACGGTGCTTGGGTGGTCTCTGTTGTGTGGTGTTATGGTGCGGCGCTTTCCCAGAACAAGTGGAAGTAACGCCATATGCAATGAAAATGGTTCATAATCTAAATGTGACCTCACAGGGTGACTTTGATGTTGAACTTTGTGTAGTTGAAATACAATTAGTTGAAATGAGTGTTGCATAATAGCATGAAACCCTATCCCCCCCTGAAATCTATCTATCCCCTCGTTTTCTTATTGTGCATATTATCATTTGTATACAAAAGTAATACAATAAGCTGTTTTAGTTTTCTTTCACTCTCATTCTCATGAAATTGAGAATTGTCCAGCAAACACCAACAGTTCATATCGTCAGTCAGGCATTAACACTTTTAAAATAAAGCAGAAATAGCTCAAACCTTTACAGTTATATTAGCCTACAGTTTACAGTAATATATATAATATATACATACATACATATAAATACACACACACACACACATACATATATATATATATATATATTTTTTTTTTGCTCTATGGCTCAGGTCAGAGCCATGTATTGAGAGAGTTCTGACACTGCCATAGACCGCCACATGGCTCTGGATCAGGTTGATTCGGTTGATTCATTATTCATGTTGTGTCATGTGATTTGTCATGTGGGCGGGGCCGCAGATCCAAACCGGAACAGTTTTTCAGAGGAAAGAGGAGTTGTATGGGGATTCTCTTCACTGCCTTTATTCCTGTAAGTAAGCGCTTTTTTTATTCTTCCTCGATTTGCACGTGATAAAACGGGGCTGTTATTGTGAGGAAAAACGTTTGTCTCAGTAACGTTACATGCGTTTTCATCGGCTTTTCTGTCAGATTGTTTTTAGCACTAGCCAGTCAGCTAACTTGTTATTGTCTCATGACTTGTGTCAGAGCTGCTGTTTATGTAAAACAATCTCATTATAACGAACAGTGTATGTAAATGAGCTTTGTATTTATTATATTTATAAAAAAAAAAATGTTTGAGGCAATTATAACAGATTATAAGCTGTTTTTGTTCATTCTATCCGTCAGTTCAGGTTATGTGAATAGCCTAAAGTTACGTTAATTAAATTACAAACTTATCGCATAACATTAGCTACAACAGTACTATATATAAAACCTCAACAACACAATGTTCATGCATACATATTTTAACAACGAGAGAGTGTATATATCTAATTGGACTTGACTGGAGCCTGATAACTTTTTCTGATATGCTGATGTGTGCTAACTTAATATCATTTGTTTCAATTGGTTTGATTAGATTTCTATGACAGATCTAACATCTTGTTTTGTGGTATTGAAACAAATTAGCATTCAGACATTTGTTATTTTTGTGCTTTTCTCATCTCCAGTCATGTGTTTTTTGTATGATTGTCAGTGTTAAATATTAGCAGAAACTTACAGTATAAAGCAATGCAACCCAGGGCCCACAATGCTTTGCAAATCTTTGATGTTGGACATATTTTTATATCTGAAATCACAATGTAAATTGAAATCAGATTATAGTTAATTCATTAATAGTAAAAATGTATTTTTTAATTTGCTGACTATTGAATGCCTGTTTTTTTAAATCTATTTAATGTCTTGCAAACACACAACGTATGTCCATATTAAAAGATACAATTTATAAGCCAATATATAAAAACATTGTACTGTTGTGTTGTGTCTAAAAAATACTGATTTTGTTGAATATTTTTATGCAGTCAGCAGTATGATGTTTTCATTAATAGTTTGTTCAAGCTCCTGTTATTACATCTCGTGTCTGAGTGTGTGTTGTAGGTGAGGGTCACTGAGTTTAGGAGAGGGTCAAGTGTTGAAAGGAGGTTGCTTGGTAATTTGTCTGGGACAAGCTCTGTATTCCATAGAGACTCTCGGGTGTCAATCATCTTAGCAGTCAGTCACTCTCAAATGTTGTCACACAGAAGTGTGTCGTGTTGTTGATGTTTACTCTTTTCACTTCCATGATCAGATTTTGCTGTATCTGAACAGTAAATGTTTTTCTTTCTTTCTTCCTCCCTCCCTCCCTCCCTCCCACCCCACTGCCTTTTGTTCAAATGTTAATCAAAAATATAAAGCTACTTTTTAAAAAATGTTCTTATTTGTTTTAATCGTCATTATCATCCTGCTGTGTTTGTGTTCATGGCATGCCCGCCCCCCTTAAAAAAAACATAAAGATTTTTTTAAATTAAAACATGCTCATCATAAAACAGTTTTTTTTCTAGTCATATTATATAGTATTGCATTTGTTACCGGTATGTATTTTTCAATTAAAGGAACGCTCCAGACAGAAAGATGAGCATCATTGACCTATCTTGGCAATGTATTTGCACAATATAACAATTTCACACTATTTCCAAAGTATTGTCATCCCCATAAAATGTCATCCCTGCAGTGAATATATATGCCATACACCCCATTTAAATACTAGACGTTTTCTGAATCTGCACTGTGGACTATGAGAACTCAACCATCACCCCTTCCCCTTTATCTTTCTCTCTGGCCCATGCCAGAGACCACACAGACACAGAAACACACCCTCCCAGACCACACAGAGACAGCCACGGCCACGGGGTCTTGCATGTAAAGCGCCCTTGAGCTGTCAGTCTTGTGCTCCATGTGGGTTTTATATACGAGAAAAAGTTTATGACAGTGCAAAACCCACCGGAAAAACTGCCATAATTACTGAACTACTTGTAATATTGTATGTAGAGATATCGGTGTTACTCGGAACAGAAACGTACTTGCTCAGTGGGTGCCGAATGGGTAGATTTATTTGTTCATGTCTAACGTTTTTAAATGCACTGAACGTGCTGAATGTTTGGATATGGTTCAAGCGAGCTTAAACAAAACAGAATTTAACTTATGTCTCATTTAGGTGTGTAAACAATGTCTCGTGCCCGCCTGCCACCCTTGGTGACTGGCATCTCACCCAATGAGGGCGCGCCGTGGACCAAAGTCACCATTCGCGGGGAGAACCTAGGCACTGGACCCAATGATCTCATTGGTAATGTGCATGCTCATATTCATTGTTACAGTTGCAGATACAAACCTTCATTTTTTAACAAATATACTTCTGCTTAAAAGTTTGAGGTCAGTACGTTTTTTTAAACGAAATGTTTCAAAAAGTTCAGCAAGGATCCATTAAATTGATCAAAAGTGACAGTTAAGACAAAACATTTAATTTCTAATAAATACATAAAAAAAAACTTAATTTATTCCTGAAAAAAAATGTATCCCGGTTTCCACAAAAATATTAAACAGCGGAATTGTTTTCAAAATTGATATATTGATTAAATGAATTCTGTAGGATCATATGACTCTGAAGACTAGAGTAATGGCTAGGCTACGCATTTGCAATCACAGAAATAAATTAAAATATTGAAATAAGTTAAACTATATTAAAATAGAAAACTGTTATTTTAAATTGTAATAATATTTTACCAATTGATTACTATTTTACTGTATTTTTGATAAAGAAAATGCAGCCTTGGTGAGTATCAGCGACTTCTTTCAAAAAATCCAAACTTTTGAACAATTGCGTAATATATCTTAGATATCTTCTAGAGCATTTTATTTATTAATATAACAGATGCCTTTATCCAAAACAAAATTAAATTAAGGAATAATACAAACACGCAACTTCTGTGAAGCAGAGTTTCTTCATACAGAGGTGATCAGTTTGTGAAATCTGGGGAAAATGAATGAATCAGTACTTTGGGTGTTTTGAACAGAGATTTAAATGGATGCGTTATTATATTTGATTGCTACTCAATGAGTCTGTAAATAATCTTTTTTTTTACTTTGGAAAATAAAATCTACACATTTGACATTCACAAACCTGATCCACAATATAAACTAAAATCTAGGGCTGTCAAATGATTAATCGCGATTAATCGGATCCAAAATAAAAGTTTGTGTTTGCATATTATATGTGGGTGCACTGTGTATTATTATTTTATATATATAAATACACACACATGCTTGTATATATTTAAGAAATATTTTCATACTGTATATAGATTTATATATAATTTATATTAAATATAAATATTTTATATATAAATAATATTTTTTTCTTAAATATACATTAATGTGTGTGTATTTATATATATATATATATATATATATATGTGTAATACAATATAATACAATATAATTTTGTATATGTAATACAAAATAATTATACACAGTGCACCCACATATAATATGTAAACACAATCTTTTATTTTGGATGCGATTAATCACGATTAATCTTTTGACAGCCCTACTAAAATCTGATTAAAATATAATATGATTTTTTTTAGATACATTAATGTGTGTGTGTCTTATATATATATATATATATATATATATATATATATACTGTATAATACAATATAATTTTGTATACATAATACAAAATAATTATACACAGTGCACCCACATATAATATGTAAACACAATCTTTTATTTTGGATGCGATTAATCACGATTAATCATTTGACAGCCCTACTAAAATCTGATTAAAATGTAATATGATTTTTTTTTTTTTATAGGCCTGGACAGATAGATTAAATCATATCGGCATCATGATAGACATGAACTGAGGTAAAATTGGCCGTTTCAGTAACTTCTTTTTCTCTTGGTCATTGTCCAACTCCCACACCACAGGTCTGTCTATCTGTGGTCATAACTGTTTGCTGACAGCAGAATGGATGTCAGCTAGCAAGATAGTCTGTCGAGTTGGTCCTGCTAAAGATGACAAGGGCGAGATCATCGTCACCACCAAGAGTGGAGGCCTGGGGACGTCCACTGTCTCCTTCAAACTGCTCAAACCCGAGAGGATCGGTGAGACACACATTCATAGTGCCCTCAAACTCACATACGCACACTCGGAGAGATCTATCTTACACTGCCAATCTAACACCAATTTTGCTTAATTGCCTGACATCTTGTAAGGTCACGTAAACACCGTGTCCTTTTTTTGCCGGAAAGGTCTGCTTAATCAAAAAACGATTGGCACACCTGGTTTTATCCCAATTGAAGTCGCTTTTGTTTTTATGTCAAATCAAAGAAAATGCTGGTAATTTTCGATCTCACATAAACATGGTATTCTTGAGTTATCAGCATAGTGTTGTGGATGTAAACTCACTCAATTTCCGTTATAGGCAAAATCACAATTTTGGTTTGATTGATTATACACTCTTCAAATGTACACACATGCTCTTTGAAGATGGCAATGGATTTGAAGTGCTCAACCATTGAGTGTGTACATTTTTTTGTGTGTTTAGGCATTCTGGATCAGTCTGCGGTCTGGGTTGATGAGCTCAATTACTATGACATGAGGACTGATCGGAACAAAGGCATCTCTCCTCTCTCACTGAGGCCGGCAAACCCTTTGGGCATCGACTTTGACAAGTACAGAAACTTTCACAATTGAGTTTGTGTTTCTCTCTTATGAAGTTACAAAGTATTAAATTTACACCTTCAGTTACAGAGTACACACAGTGCTGTGCTCCACTCTCACACGCATGTGCTTCATTTTTGACTGTCTGGTTAAAACACACACTCACATAGACCAAAACAAATGCATTTCCTCACACACTTCTCTCAAAAAGCACTGCTCTGTGTTTATAGAAGTGGACCTCTGTGTTTATAAGGAAGGAGGTTCAGCAGAAAGTAGAAACAGCCCATTGTGTGTATGTCTTCTACCTGGGTGATGGCATTGGTACACTATTTCCTTTGATAGGAAGTGAAAATCTTCCTTTCCCTGACCTCTGCAGCAACCTTTTACTTATTTATATCGATATATTCAGATGAGTACACAACTGTTCAAAAGTTTAGGGTCGGGACAATTTTTTTAAATGATTTTTTAAAGCTTCTTAGGCTCACCAAGGCTGCATTTAAAAAAATAAAAATAAAAAACAGTACAAAGTGTGAACTAATATATTTTAACTATAATTGTATTTATATATAATACACTTTTATATTTTAATATATTTGAAAATGTAATTTATTTCTGTAACGGCAAAGCTGAATTTTCAGCATCATTACTCCAGTCTTTAGTGTCGCATGATACTTTTGGAAAACATTCTGATATGCTGATTTGTTTATCAAAAAAACAACAACATTTCTTATTACTAATGTTGAAAACGTGCTGCTTAATATTATGGATAATATGGGAACCATAATATTTATGGAAACCATCATATTTTTTATATTGCTTTCAGTTTAATGTGTTATTAATGGCGTTAACGCAAACCCATTTTAACAGCATCAATTTGTTTTATCGTGAGATTAACATTCTTTTTGGCCTAGCAAACTTTGTAGTTTTTTTTTTTTTCATATACTTTTACAACAAACAGTAACATTAGAAAAACTACAACACCACACCGGATCTAGCTAGACCGGAAACTAAACAACAGGCACGCGGCACACACTTTTTTGGGCTTGCGTACCGGCCAAATCCACTTTTCCATGTTGATAAGAGCATTAAAATGAGAAATAAATAATGGGACAAAATATAAATCAAGGGACATTTAGAAAATGTGCAATTAATTGTGAGTTAACTATGCGATTAATCGCAATTAAAATATTTTAATCGTTTGACCGCACTAATTTTTTGAAAATTTGAAAAATAAAAGGTTCAAGCATTATAAAATAGCAAAAAAAATTAAATAATTTTTTTTGCATTTATAAATGTCTTTACTGTCACTGTTGATTTATTAAACGGTCCATGCATAATTAAAAATGCTCTCTGACCCCAAACTTTTCAACAGTATAATGCATATAAATCATATTCTGTGCCGCATCACAAGACACAATGGGTTGGCTAAGCTTGTGTAATGCTGTTTACGTAAATCCGGACAGATCTGGTTTGTACCCTGTCTGGTTTCTCTCTATCATCTGTAGTGCGGTAGAGCAGGTCTCTGATCTGTGGTGTTTGGCACGATGGGTCTCTGTGTGTTTAACTGCGTGTCTTGTGTTCTTCAGAGGGAAGGTTCCTCTGAAGGATCTGGAGAACATGTTCCCTGGTATGAGTGGAGACTTCACCAGTGAGAATTTCTCTGCCACCTGGTATCTCATCGAGAACCATTCTTCAACCGGGTTGGTCTATTTACCGTCTGTCCATCTTTTAATCTGCCAAAATAGATTTGTGTGTAATGTGGTGTTGATGTTTGTTGCTGTTGTAGTTTTGAGCAACTGCGTGTAGCGGTGGGAAATCTTAAGAAACAAGCCAGTAAGAAGAATGAGGGCAGTCTGGCCTACGTGAAAGGAGGTCTCAGCACTTTCTTTGAGGCTCAGGATGCTCTTGCATGTACGTATGCTTGTTTTTTAAAAGCATATAAGCAAAATATTATTCATGCATTCGACTGAAGGAAACGGATGCATTTCTGAAAGAAAAACAATATTCACTGGGAAGTAATATAGGTTGGGACTGGATTATTTCCATGAGGATTTTGTTGCTTTAGGTCATGCTGGAATTATTGTGTTAAAATTATTCATCCCGTAAACACAATATCGTTATAACCATTGATCTTAATTTAAATTTTATTTGTGAATATTGACTGTACAGTATAGGTTTAACACAATAAGAAATTAATTTCTTATTGAACTGTCAGGATGTAGACTTTTTGACAACTTTTTAACAGCCACAAGACAAATACAACTCTAGATAATGTCCCAGGCCCTACCAAATATGTTATTGTAACTCAAGCTTAAATTACATAACATAAATCCCATCAGAATGGAGATACTTTCAGTAAAATGTGTCAGCTAACTTGCTGGTTTGGTGAGCATTAAAGGTTAAGCTCAAATAGATATTATGAATACTAGATTTAGGTGCATGTGCATTTTATTCAAGGTTTTTTTTCACTTCTTGTGTCATTGTACACAGGTGTATGTGTTTTCTCAAACTGCTCTCATAAGAGGTCAATGTCACAAAATAGATATTTTTGTGTGTGTAAGACTTGTCACGGGTCAAACAGAAGAGCTATTCTTAGCACTGCGTATCCATGTGATTGACAGGCATGGGGACGGATAACGAGGCGTGGTTGTCATAATGTTTAGATGAGGTTGTAATAAGGTTGTCATTGTGCTGAGAGGAAACGAGAGAGCAGCAAACGGAAGCTGCACTGATTCCCAGAGAAGACTCCCAAAACTTACCAGGCAGAAGTCAAAACATATCTCAGAGACAGAGGAAGCGTACCACACAGCATTCCGGAGCCCAGGGGGAGCCGGGGTTAGTCCTGACGTCATTGTGTACAGAAGTTTCCCAAATCCAGATGTGGAGAGAAAAAATAGACTTCATTTAGTTTTTTCCTTTATTCCAATTTAATGGAATATATATTTATATATATATAGCCCTGTTGTTATGCCAATGATGAAATCAGTTTGCAGGGTCTCTTCTCCAGTTCTCCCCAGGTTGGCAAAAAATGCATCTCAAAATGCATCAGATTAATGCTTTAAAATATGGAACATTTAAAATTTTCTTCTGCCCCCGGACCACCCTAGAGTGGATGGGTAATATCCTTCTCAACTTTTTCACCCCTGACCCGTTTTCATGCATGATTGTAAAATGCTATAGATGGATGTAGGAGTGAATATTTTATCACACTCATCTGAGCAGCTTGTAGGAACGCATAGACAATAATTTCTATACAAAATAAGAGTCTTGATTGTCTTCCTGGCTTGTTTGAAATGAATTTGTACTACATTACTAAAAAATGTTGTTCTTTCTTTTTTCCTTTCTTTTTTTTTGTTCGTGTAGGTCTTAAAAAAGGGTCTTACAGTCTTAAATTAGATTTTTTTTTACAGATACGCAGTGTTTGTTCAGATAGTATAATAGAATTTTTAAAGTACAGCATATTTTAACATTTATAAAAGTCTTTACGGTTCTTTTTGATCATCTGAATGTGTCTTTGCTGAATAATATTAGTTCCTAAAAGCAAAATTATTGACCCCAAACTGTAGTCTAAACATCCTTTTTTTCTCCAGCTATCCATCAGAAGCTTGAATCAGACGGCACTGAGAAGGTGGAGGGCTCTATGACCCAGCGACTCGAGAACGTTCTTAACAGTAAGACATAAAACCAAACACATGGTCAGAATCGCACACGATTACACAAAGCAGCTAAATTTAGGATCCAAGTTGCATATGCATTCTCTTTAGACCATCAAAGACACACATTTCACGCAGACCTCGGCGTGTTTCTGTGAGTGCGTGTACGTGTGTTCGAGACCACTCATATCCCAATCATATCTCCATGTCAATTCTCTCATGTGACGGTGGGTCAATAAACACGCTCGTTTCCTGCGGGCCGCACAAATAAACCAGTCACACACGCTGACATGCTTTCATCGCCGACCCCTCCTCTTCCTCCTCACCACCCGTCTTAACATGTACATTTAGATGTATGTTCTTACCAAAGCCACTTATTGACTCTCTCAGCCAATCACAAACAGACTCATTGGTGGAAAAAAAAGGCTGGTCAGACTTTTATAGTGGTCAGGAGGCTGGTTCTTATTAAATCGGACAAAGGGAATCCAGAATAGCTCTGACCACCCACGAAGAGATCTTGAATTTATTTGAAACTGAGGAAGGATGCTTAAACCACTTTTTATCAGCTGTTATCCTTTTACACCCTTTTCTCTTTTCTTTCCATTTGCTCATTCCTCTCAGGAGCAAGTGAAACTGCTGACACCCTGTTTCAAGAAGTGTTGGGCAGAAAGGACAAGGCCGACTCAACACGCAACGCTCTCAACGTTCTCCAGAGATTCAAATTTTTATTTAACCTGCCACTCAACATTGAACGCAACATCCAGAAGGTGGAATCTCCCGTACACACACACACACACACCTCACACACATTCTCTCAAAACTCTTATCTAAACGATTATAATACTGTGGGGTCAGTAAGATTTAAAAGAATAAAAAAATGAAAACCTTTATTCAGCAAGGATGATCAGTTTCTAGATTGATTAAATTGGACGGTAAAATCATTTATAATCTTTCAAATTATTAGTATTTATTTATATTTTTAACAATGATAATAATAAGAAATGTTTCTTGAGTATTAAATCATCATATTAAAATAAATAAAAAATAATAGTAATATTTGAAAATACAAATAAGAAAATTACTGTACTTTTGATTAAATAAATGCAGCTTTGGTGAGCATAGTAGACTTTTTATTTTTATTTTATTGTACCGACTCCAGACTTTTGAACAGTAGTGTATACACTCTGCAATATATGCAAAATATGAATGCTAAACTGACAGTGTATCTGTTCCTATCCAGGGGGATTATGATGTGGTCATCAATGATTATGAGAAAGCCAAATCTTTGTTTGGGAACACAGAGGTCCCTGTTTTTAAGAAAGGTGATCTGATAATATCTGATAGTATATGTTAATATGACATGCATCCTCTTATGTACATTCATGTTAGCTGGAGTATTAAAAGATCGTCCTGCATGTGTGTTTGTAGTGTATTCAGAGGTGGAGACTCGGATAGAAGCCCTGAGGAAACTGCTTATGGATAAACTTCTGGAGACACCATCCACTTTACATGATCAGAAACGCTATATCAGGTGTGTGACAAGCGGTGACAAACTGCAGTGACAAACTGCAATTCTGTTTCTTAGAGAACTGAGACACAATATCAGTGTCCAGTGACAACAAAGTTCAGAACATTTTTAATTTACATAAAGTAGCAACAATGCAATTACGTCCAATGCGAGTGAAGAGAGTGGAGCTCACAATGTCCATCACTTGTGACTTTTTTTTTTGTGTCACATTTTTTTGGATACCAGTGACCCCCTAATCAGATATTTCCCTGGTGGATCCCCTCCTCCCAAAATATAAAGGCCGCAATTTCATGTTAAAATACTTATTTATATTCAGAGAAAGTCCACTTAAAAATATTTATTTTAATTATAAATATTTATTTCATTATAATATATACACTAGCTTTCAAAGGTCAAGGCTTTTACGCTAGCTTTCAAGGTCGTTGATGTTTTTTAAAGAAGTCTCTTAATGTTCTTATGATAAAAAAAAATGGTAAAAACAGTAATATTGTGAAATATTATTTAAATTAAAATACTGTTAATATCACTGTTTTCTATTTTAATCAATTTTAAATTGTATTATTCTCAATGTTGAAAACAGTTGTGCTGCTCAAGTTTAAGTTCAAACGAATATTTAAATAATTTATTTGAAGTGAAAATCAATTTAATGCATCCTTATTAAAAAAAAAAATATATATATATATATATATATATATATATATTTAAGATTTTTTTTAGTCTGAAGGGTAGTGTAAATAATTTATATTGAATTATAAATTTTTTTAAGTAATTACATTCCCCGCCTTTTTTATTATATAATATTATAAATATCGAAATACTGCAAAATGTTGTTATTTTGTATTATATTTTTGTATATAACTGCTCATCCTATTTATGGTCAGATTTTCAAAAGCTTTAATTTGTGGGACCCAATTGCATTAAAGCATTGTTGACCTGTCATTGTAAGAGGGGCTTAAAGATGTCCTGAAAAATGATGCAATTATATTCATGATGATATAATGATTCTCTTTTTTTAAATTCAGATATCTGTCAGATCTGCATGCTCCAGGTGACCCGGCATGGCAGTGTATAATCGCACAACACAAGTGGATCCTGCAGCTGATGCAAAACTGTAAAGAAGATTTTATCAAAGAGCAGAAAGGTACAGACACAAATGGTTTAGAATAAATTGATGGTTTCTCTACCACTCCGAAGAGTGAAAGCAGTGTGTGTGTTCTGCCCTGTGTGTGTGTGTGTGTGTTTAGATAGAGAGCAGCCCGTGTGTGGTCTGGTCATGACCCTATAGAGAACAGGAAGTCCACAGAGCTCTATAGTGTTGCAGAGCTAAGGGGGGGTTGCTGTAGTGAGAGGCAGACATCAGGGAATACAAGAAGAGAGAGGAACATAGATAAACACAGGAGATGATTGGACACCTGGATCAACACCAGCACTCATTTTTTATATAGAAAGAGAGAGAGTAAACATCCAAGTGGCTCAATGGTATACGTCTTTATCTATGTGTGAGAGAAACATGACATGTGTACACTATCTGAACATATTGAGTGTTTCAGACTATATCAACAATTTAATCAGGGCTGAGGAAGAACCTAGAAAGACCTTTAGTGCCATCTATTGTCAGAGCAGAGGTACTGTATGATAACTACCAGTATAACACAGTACCTTTGAACCTTAGTACCTTGTACATTTGAACCTTACCACAGGGGGGGATTGTCCTGTTATAAGGGTTTTGTAAGTTACTTTGGATAAAAGCAGTCGTCTCATGACTTGCACTCAAATCACAAGGGAAGAAAGAAATGATAACCCATTAAATAAAAAATGTACCTTTTTAATTATAATCATAAACTCTCAAGCAAAACTCTCTTTATTTTTGCAAACATGATTGATTGTTAAATTCTGAGGAATGTAGATTGAGCATTCATCGTGTCTGTCTGTCTGTCTGTCTCAGTGGGTGGTGTTGGGTTAGAGCTGGATCGTTCCTTAGCTCTGAACAAGATCAGCCTCTCAGCTCCAGTGAAGAGAGGAGGCAGCTTCCAGAAGCCTAAAGATGACTGTGAGTACAATAAATGAAAGACCAACATACATTACTCTTTGAAAGATTTATCCACACGAAAGCTGCAATTATTCTATCAAAAAGTACTGTCTATTTCAATTTTAATATATTTATTCCTGTGATGCAAAGCTGAATTTTCAGCAGCTATTATTCACCAAGGATTCATTAAATTGATCAAAATTGAAGACATTTATTTGTTACTACAATAGATTTTTATTTGCCCTTTTTGTTCATTAAAGAATCCTGAAAACAGAAACAGGTTTCCACAGAAATACTAAACAGCAACTGTTTCCTACATTTATAATAAACACACACACACATATATGTATACACAACTGTTTTTTGACATTGATAATAAAAAACAACTCCCTATTCAAGGAATAAAGGACATTTTCAAATATATTCAAATTGCAAACATCTATTTTAAATTGGAATATTTCACAATATAATTGTTTTAAAACAAATGCAGCCTTGGTAAGCATACGATACTTAGTTAAAAAATCTTGCTAGCCAAAAACGTTTGAACGTAGTCCATTTACTTTGTATACAATGCCAGAAAATGTTCTTATTTGCTGATTTGGTCACTTTTGTGTAGAATTTCAAAAAATGATGCATTTGAAACTGAGCTTAGTTAGGACGAGTTGTGAAACTCCCAGAAATCTCATTGTCAGCCATCATTATTTCATAAGCAGAATGCTGCTGTCTTTGTAACAGTATTTCATACATATTTTCTCAGCGTGGCACTATAAGAGCCCTCAGCAGGTGAGGTTTGTGGAGAAACTCTCAGACGTGGTCATCAGCCAGTTGCCCAACTTCTGGAAACTCTGGATCTCTTATGTCAATGGCAGCCTGTTTAGTGAGGTAGTTATACACACAATTATACCTTCTGGGTGTTAGAAACAGAGGCTTGTGTAATCACTCAAATTTGTTGACTGTGTTGTCTTGGACAGACTGGAGAGAAGTCCGGTCAGGTGGAGAAGTTAAAGAAGAACGCTCGGCAAAGGCAGAATGACTTTAAGGTTAGTAAAGCAGCTGGAATGTTTTTGTGCTTATAGTCTGGAGATTGAAAGTGTGAACATGATTCACTACGATCTGAGACTAGTGATGCTCCAAAATTTTGTCTGAAATCATAGACTGAAACAGTGATGTGTCATTAGCGCTGCTCCATAGACACTTTTTGACACTGGTGTCCATTTCCTTCACACAGCGTGGGTAAGCTACAACAGATAAACTGTCTGCTGTGTGGATGCTTGGGCTGGCTTGACAATATACATTTTTCTTTTTAATCGAATTTAATTTTGATCAACCAAGGAAATAACTATAAATAAACATCAGTAGGTTTGTTGAAAACACAATACAACTTACTGTAATGTAACATGTCACATGTAATCGCTCAAACCGTGTTTCACCCACAGACAGACATTAATAAAACAGCTTGTAAACAATGACTCGTGACATTATGGCAAGAAAAGCCATTGAGTGTCCATAGCTTGTTAGACAGCTAAAAAAATATAGAGTATATGCACTATATTACATATTCATTTTATTTTTTACTTAACCTGTCTTCATTATTTAGTGTTTGTTTGAATAAATCTGTCATGAACATTTTTTTTACACCCACCATTTAAATGTTTATATTTCAAAAAGCTATTTAGATGTGCAATTTAAATCTTTATATACAACTTATTTTTTGTTTGAGTTTTGATAAAAAAAAATTAGGGCTGTGCAAAAATTAATTGCGATTAATCGCATCCAAAATAAAAGTCTGTGTTTACATAATATATTTGTGTGTGCTGTATATAATTATTTTGTATATATAAATACCTATGCATGCATGTATATATTTAAGAATTATTTGCGCTTAAATTCTGTATATATTTATAAATACATAATCTATATTATATAAATATAAATATTTTATATATGAATAACACATTTTCTTAAATATATACATGCATGTGTGTGTATTTATATATACAAAATAATTATATACAGCACACACAAATATTTTATGTAAACACAGACTTTTATTTTGGATGCGATTAATCGCAATTAATTTTTGCACAGCCCTAAAAAAAATACATTAAACTACATTTAAAGCTGCAGTCCGTAGCTTTTTGGGGGTTAAAAATGATCCAAAATATATATTTGAGAAATACATAACCAGCCAGTGTTCAAAACTACCTGCTTGCCTCAGCTCGATTCAAAGCGGTAAGCTTGTAATAAGCTTAATTAATTTCAGTGGTACTGGTGGATTTCCGCGGGAGATTCGAGCATGTCTTTGCGTCGTTACGTCACATCTGTACACATAAAGAAGATCTTGCTGCGTCCCAATTCGCATACTATCCGTCCTAAATAGTATTCGAAAATAGAATTAGTGCGTCCCAAATCGTAGTATGTTGAAATGAGTATTTCAAAGATACCCGGATGGTCTACTTTTTCCGGTCAGAATCCGAAGTGTAGATCGATGCACACTCTAATGGCTGATATTGCCCACAACCCATTGCGCGTTGGACGAGGATTCGGTTAGAGAACTACAAACACGAGTAAAAAGTGTTAAACTACAGACACGGAGGTCACGCGAGTCCCGCGGTTATGTTGAGAGGTTTAGATAAAGAGGTTTGAGTGATTAATTATCACTATCTAACCTAACGAAAATAATTTATTCAATGTTCTCCACATTATATTGCATCTGCAGCAGCATTGTGAACTTTTGTAAGGATACGTTTAGCCATTACTTTTTAAATGCATCATTATATTCAAATAGCAAAACACGAGGAAAGTATCCGCATTAAAGACCCACGATTGGCAGATGAACGTGCTTCCGAAACGGTAGGAAATCAAATTAGATTGAATGGGGGATTTTAAAGGGCCGTCCGTTAAAGATGACGTGATAGTATGTCCCAAAGCTTGCCTACTCTTTTGCTACACAGTCAAAAGTATGTACTTTTTCTTCACAAAAAGAGTACATACTTTTAGGGCGTAGTATAAGTAAGCGAATTGGGACGCAGGGAGAGTCTCGGCCAGTAGACTTTATTGAGTCATTACGTCACATCTGTACACACAAATGAAATTACTGCAATTGTAGATTTCGAACAGAGATGGCGACAAAGAGGAAAAACGCCGGACTGCAGCTTTAAAGTCCCCGTGAACCGGAAGTTGTAAACTAATTTTCTCTAGTGTTGTGACGTATTTCCGAGAGAGAAAAGCAATACTAAAGAGGCAAAATATTGGGCGTGGATTTTTTTTTCCAACTACAGTAGATTCGATCTAGAAAAGTAAGTGTAACACTAATTGGAATTCTAAAACTATTTTTACTAGCTATTACTGCTGCAACCTTAACTTTTATGATAGCAACCTGCGTGTAACTCACTAACCCATGAGTGCCACAACCAAAAATGCACCTCCTTGCCATCTCTTCTTTCACACGCTGTCAACGCTCGCAAACACACAGGCAGCCTGTCTACTGTCAATTGGAGGGGCCTGGTTACCGATGTTTAGCAGACACCCAAACCGTCAAACCTACGTCATCATGGAAGGTCCTCCAATGCAGAGGGGAGGGGAATTTTTAAATTTTAATTAAAGATTATGAAGCCAAACATTTTTTTTTGTGTGGATTGACCACAAAACGATCAATTTAGGCAAACAAAGTATGTATGGTCAATTACTTAAATTTCGGTTTCGTTGTTTGTGTAAAAAAATGTAATTTGTTGCATCACTCTTTGAAGCAACCTATGTGTGAAGCCAAGGGTAATTTTCACTGTATAATGTGTTTGATTGGCACATTTGATTGTGTGTAGGGCATGATTGAGGAGGTGACCCGTCGTCTGGTGCAGTTAGTTCGAGGGGCTCTGTTACCCTCCTCGCTTACAGAGCTGCAGCTGAGGCAGTATGGCGGCTGGGACACCAAAACCCCTCTCAGTGGATGCTGGCTCACACAGGTCATCCATACCGTCAGGTACATGTGTGAATTTGTAGTAGGAATAAGTGATGTGACAATAACAAAACAAAAATTTGTAGTTATTATAATGATTTTATATTATAAAGGAATCATTCATCATACAATGAAAATTTTGTCATGTACATTTCATCTGTGCAATCAATAATCAATATGTGCGTGATATTTTGACAAATGTCTTGCATGTTTTGTTTTGTTTTTGTCCATACATTGGAAGTCAGTGGGCAGCAAAACTGTTTTGTTAACAGCATTTTTCATCTTCTTTTATATTCCACCGAAGAAAGCAAGTCATACAATTGAGAGAGAGTTACAGAATGTTAGTTTTTAGGTGAAGTATGTACTCTGTAAACATTACTGATTTTTCGTCAATTCAATCATCATTATTTGCCATTTCACAGATTCTGTTATTGGATGTTAAAATAACTGTTTCTGTTGGTATTTTTTAGCCTGTTTTTCCATTCGAAAAAACAGAAATTATTGTGTATCCTTTGTGGGAATGATATTTGACCATCTTGTATTTTTATATAAAGCTCATTTGATGCTCTCTTTCTCTCAGGCTAAGTCATGAGGCTCTGTCAGGTCTGGAGATTCCCAATGACCTGCTTCAGGTGATTCAGGATTTACTGCAGGACCTCCGTGTGCACTGCCTGCTGACCACACTACAGCACACTGAAGAGGGTAAAGCTACATTCCCTGAGCTTTCAGGCGAACAATGGAAAATGTGATTGCGGAAATGTTCTGCAGAATATTTGCTCAAAATTCACTGAAAAATTATTATTCATCTACAAGACACAAGTGGGAAGTAACCCTTTCTTGTAATTGGCCTTGTATATAAGCTTATTGGTCAGCAATGATCATCTCAAGATGAACTCGTTAATATATCGGTCTGTCACTAATGTGGAATTGTAACAGTAGAGGGAGCTATAGAGCTCTCCACTAAACTGATTTGCATTCATGTTCAGTATAAACAGCTCAGTAGGTTTTTTTAATAGTTTTAATAAAACAGCTCTAGTAAATTTAAGCTTTGTTCACTTAGTCAACATCTGAAGCTGTAGAACAAATTTTAGTAGTCAAACAATTATTCAGATCATTCAGAAGGCTAGATCTGCCAGTTGAAGTAGCTTTCTATTTTTGTACCGGTTTAATGTAACTAAACTTTATGTTGTTTAGATGTAAAGAGACTTGCAAAAAAAGAAGACTGGGTTGTGGACAATGAGGGAATTACGTCACTGGTACATGCTTTGCTTTTATTCTATTCCATTCTAGTTTATTTCATTCTAATAACTTGCAGATTAAAAACTTGCGGATAAATGGTGTGTGTGTGTTTCAGCCGGCCCAGTTTGAGCAGTGTATGGTTCAGATGCTGCAGTCTCTGAAGGAGCCCATGGAGTGTAAACCTGGAGAGATCAATGTACAAACCCTCACACTATACTACTCATCCCCAGCTTTTCCACTGCAGATTATGTAGCGATTAATCAATCAATGTGCATCTCTCTCTTGGTCTTTAGATCTTAAATCTGGATGTGGTTCAAGACAAAGCTTGCGAACAGTGTGTTTCGATCATGAAGGTATTGTGTTTTGGTATCTGTCGGTTTGTTGGGATTTGTAAAAATAATTCCTGCTGTTTGAAAATATTTTTATGTCTCTACTCGGTTTAGGTCTTTATTAAATGTCTCGAGCAGCTCAGCATCAAGACTGATGGAGACATCGACGCCTCTCAGTGAGTTTTATTGTCTCTTTAAATAAATGTATACATGACAAAAACTGCAATTAATTTAGTACCTTGAAAAATGTCAAGTGGTGTAACAATTTTGTAGAAAAAAGTTTGTTAAAACTACTTTTCTGTTTCTTGTTTTTGACAATTAAACGGAAATGAAAATGAGTGTCACTCACCTGTATATATAATAGGGTGAATGTTTAATTTTACAGTGGGAGTGGACTATCAAAGTCTTTCTCTTTCAGTTTGTCTGTGGACTTGGCTTCACCTGATCTTTTTGGGAGCATCAAAGAAGACTTTAATTCAAAACCTGTAAGGATGTTCTTCAACTCTCCTTCTGATTTCCACCTTTCTCCATGTTCCATCTCGTCTTTCTCTCTCTTCAGAGTACTAATGCATATTACAGTGTGCTAAAGATACATATAATTCATTTAATTATTCACATATTAATACAAAATAAATAAAAATGTCTAAGCTATTGCCCAGCAGTTAGCACATCAAGCTGTGGTGCTTATATGGGAGACAGGTTTGAATCTGGCTTGCGTCCAGTACTCTTCACTTTTTTTTAGTCGTCAATAGTCCAAGATGTGGTATTTTATTCAAGGTAAAGTAAGCTGTAGAGGTGGATGTCACTGTATGTGACAGGATATTTGAGTACAGAGAATAGGAAGTGAAGATAACAGCCACCTTCGCTCTGCTAATGTTCAGCCTGTTTTAAACGATTAGTCACAGAGGCCCTGACTGAAAGCCAAATAACACTGTGTTGATATGTAGTATCAGAACCACAGAGTGTCACAGTTTTACTGAAAGCCTGATAGATGAAAAGATTGAGAGAAAGAGAGTGAGCGAAAGAGAGAGAGAGAAACCTGGTAATGGGGCCATGTGTTTAAATTTTCAAAACGAAACAGCATCTCATCGAGAGACCTCATGTAACCTTGAAGTGCTTCCTACCTCCATTAAATCCATCTTATTTGTGCTTATTCAGTAATGCTTTAGGTATATGCGAGTATATTTAGGTATATATGCACACATTTGCTTGAGTAAAATTTAAACCACATAAATAGAGTTTACAGTGACCCCCTAATTTGTATTTGGAGTCTTCTTGATACTTAAGTCAGGCTTTAAAAGGACTGAATGACTTTACCGTATATACAAAATGTTAAACCAAAGTGGCATCTGCAAAGTGAAGGTGGTCTGAAGGTAATTTTAGGCGGTTTAATTTTCCTAGCAGGCCAACCACATTAACATTTGACCAAAAAAAAAATATATATATATATATATTTTTACACTTGCTGGTTGTGTAAAATCTGAACTAAATATTACATTTGTTTGAAATATGAAACATGGCGTTTTGCTTATAATATTTGTTTTATATTTAAATGAAATGCCTTTCTGTTTAATATTTTGTCATATAATGCCAAAAAAAAAAAAAAATCATGCTTTTTTTCCAAAATACTTTTTGTGGCCACTGTATTTTCTTGTTATTTCTTAGTTCTGAAGAACCCTTTTCCTGAAAAAAACATCCTGTGTTCCGTCATGGATGTCTTTGTCACATTTTCCATCTGCAACATAGCAAACATTTAAGCATAAGGAGTCATGTGTTGTGAAAAACAGCAGTTTTCTCTTCAGAGAGCACACTGCTGTGGCCGCTCACATGGGGTTTCCCCTAGCCTGCAGTGGAAGAGCTGCAGGTTTCCCCTCTATCTCTCTCTCTTTCTCTATTTTACTCTCTCTTTCTTTCACAGACTGGTTCATGGTTCACCAGATTTTAAATAAAGGCATAATAATATAATTTGTTTTTCAAGAAAAATACCCCAAAATCTCTCTCTCTCTCTCTCTCTCACTCTCTCATGGGTGTTCATGTTAACCAAATCAGTTGCTGTGTGTGTATGTGTGTTCTGGCCCATGTAGGAGCAACGTCTCCTCATCATCCTCAGTAACTGTCAGTATCTGGAGAGACACACGTTTCTCAATCTGGCTGAGCACCTGGAGAAGAACGGCTTCACCACTGCAGAGAAGATCATCAGGGTACAAAGACACATGCACACTTCCTTTTCCCCCTCTTACTCCAGTCCACAGTTGGCATTTTCTTTTTTCTTAGCCATAACAGGTGTGATTCTAAGTTTGGTCATTTATGTTTTCTTTTACTGAAGTGAGAATGACTCACACAGATTATGGAGAAGCTCAAGGGTTTTTCAAGGTCGCATTAGAACACACTCACTCGAGGTGGCTTTTGTGCCCTGTAGGGGAGAGCGTGAAAGCCCTTGCGAGAAGGTTATGGTTGGGCTTTCCAGTAAATGCAGTTCATAGTGAATGAGTGTGTTGGGCTTAAAGCGATTGTGTAGATAAATTCAGTGCGATGAGAAAAATAAAATGGGGGCAATGAATGAGGAATTCAAGCCATATCTTGGGATCAGAATATCATAAAAAGTGGTTGTATCAGACTCTTGTATGTATATATATATACATATAATTGTACATATATGTATACATATGCACTTTTTGGGGTCGTTTTATAGTTTTAGTTTTTTTTTTTTTTGTAGTTTGATTTAATTTTATGACTTAACCTGCTTCTACAAAAATGAAATAACCCATTAAACATGAAAGTATTATGCAATCATTAGACATTTTTACTGAAATAAAACATTTTGGCATAAAGTGTTCTTTGTCATTGGGTCAAGGACCCTAGGGTGCTATATAGAACTCCATTGAACCTTTTTTTCCTAGCATCACTGCAGGAGATTTGCATCAACAATGCCTTTTCATTTTATATAAAAGTCTAGTTATTAATGTGTAACGACATTTAGACAACTTCTCAGAGAAGATTGACTCTCATCTATCTTGGCAGATGTCAATCTCTGGTGTTTTACTGAGATTCCAGAGATTTGTCCCCTTTTAAGATGGTTCCATTTTGGTTTTTGAGTACTTCCCTAAAGTTAAACATACATCATAATGATGGACATGCATGAGTGGTCTCTACTCATTCTGCAAGTAGTGTGTGATGAGCCGTGATTGTCTGTGATGGTAATGGTTTCTTAAGGTCACATGCACTTCTGTGTTGCTGGATAAAATATTACATGATCTGTGAAAGCCACCATTGGTTTGTGATTAATCATTGAACCGAATGCATGCCTATAATCTTCAGGTCAGCATAGAGGCATTGAGACAGCTGGACGAATATCTGTTTGAGACATACATCGAGAAAAAATCTGATCCTATTGTCGGCTCGTTGGAACCTGGCATCTACGCCGGATACTTTGACTGGAAGGACTGCCTGCTACCTACAGGTATCACACACCTGGATCATGCATGTGTATATTGACAACACTCTAGATGTTTCCAAAAAAATCTTGTCTGCTTGAATGTTGAAAGACCATCACCATGGAGATGGTACTGGAAGGATCCAAAAACACTCCTGATTCTGCAGTTTCAGTCTGTTGTCATTGCTTTTTTGTCACAGTTTCAGTTGTGGTAGTGTGTGTATATTTAGTATGATTAGGTCTGTGTGGCGCATACTTGACTAAATTCTGTTGTTTGTAAATCATTTGTGTACTTGTAAGGACACTTCCTGCTTATTCTGAAACATTATATGTAGAACTGTGTAAAACCAATCCTTGGCAAATTGCCACTGCAATACTAGTAATTCCATTCTTCTTCTGTATGGAAGTCTATGGCAGCCTATAGAACCGCTTGCGGGATAGTTATGAAATCTGGCACACTGATAGAGGACAGTCTGGACAGTCACCTTAGCAAATTTGTAGTCTCCAACTCAATCCCTCTAGCGCCACCAACTGTCCAAATTTTCAATCATGTTGATGCTAATAACTTTTTAACTTTTTCTGCCATTTTGAATTCTCTGAAAAACCTACTTTTTCTAACTCCTCTTAGACGGTTGCTCCAATTTTCACAAAAATTGAACCAGATCATCTTCAGACCATGCCAACAAAAATTTATGAAATTCAAGTTGATTCGCCAAACCGTTCTCGAATACTGCGCAAACTAATTTTACGTAAGTCTGCGAAAACAGACTTAAAGCTGTATTCTTGCAACACTATCATATTCAGACCAAACTTGGTACATGTCTTCACAAGGATGACCTGAGGCAACATGCTGTGTTTCGGAGCAGCGCCACCTACTGGTCCAGAGATACAAAAAAATGGCTATTTTTGCTTATAACTGCTTATAAAAGTGGTCCGCCCGCCATCTTTATTTTCTTTTAAAACAATTTTTTTTTAACTTCTTGACCGTTCATCCGAGTTTCACCAAAATCAAATCGTATCATCTCCATTGTGTGATTTATATATATATTATAATGCTATAGAATATAAATTATTACAGAGCAAATATTTTTGTACCTTTAAACTAATAAAAGCTGGTTCTTGTAATTACTAAGTTACATTTAATTACTCTATTACATAGGAACCAAAACCATATCATATTTCTGAAGAGAAAATGATGAGGTTTTTCTTCCACCTTCTACATTTTGGATGATTCCTTATCCCCTGTTTAAACCTTAAATTGCAAGAGAACATTACTCATTTATCTACCTTTTCTCATTCTCTTTGGTTCTGACTCAGGTGTGAGGAGTTATTTGAAGGAGGCTTTGGTCAGCATTATCTCTGTTCATGCTGAGGTGAGATGCACAAACTTTCAGTTCATCTCTGCTTCAAAAGATTCCCCATTAGACATCTTACACCTTGAGATGTCACATTTCTGATCCAAAACCTTGTGATCAACTTACTAAGATTGTATTTAATAGGTTATCAGGCTTTATATAGATACACATTCAATTCTAAAAAGTAGGCACAACATTGGACTGCCTTATAAGTTACCTGGCAAATTCTAAGGCATCATCACATTGTCTTTGTGGTTAAGACAATCCCAGGATTCATAGCGACAAGCTTGGTAAAAAAAAATCATGACTGAATGCACAGTCAGCTGTATATATAAACTACAGTTCAAAGGTATGGGGTTAGATTTATTTAATTTATTGATGGTAAAGCTGAAATTTCCCCTGCCATGTATATTTTTATTTAGCAGCACTAAAACATATTGTTAAAAGTTGACATTAAAGATTCTTTGTTCCTTGCTCTATCAGGTTTTTACGATTTCCAAAGAGCTGGTTACTCGTGTTTTGTCAAAGATCATTGAAGCTGTAGCAGAAGAAATGAGTCGTCTGATGCAGTGTGTGTCCTCCTTTAGTAAAAACGGTGCACTGCAGGTACAGCTCACACCTCGCACCTCACATACACTTTTCAGAGCAGTTAGCATGTGATCTTAAAGGGATAGTCTGTGAAAATTAAATAAAGTGACAATTCTGTCATCATTTACGCACCCATCATGTTGTTCCAAACCTGTAAGATTTTCTTAGTTATTTTGAAGAATGAATGAATCTTCTGATGAAGATCTTCAACTGTTTGGTTACCCCCTCGATTTTTTTTTTCCATAGTATCAATGTCAGTCAATGGAGCCCATCAATGGTTTGTTTGCCCATATTCTTTAAAATATTTTCTTTTGTGTTCAGCAGAAGAAAGAAATTACTACAGGTTTGGAACAACTTGATGTGAACTATCCCTTTAAGGTATTGAAATCTGCACCATCATATTTTTTTTCATAATAATTCTCTCTTCAGGCACGTCTGGAAATCTCTGCGTTGCTAGATGCCATAGATCTGTACCTCACATCAGAGAGTCGGTAAGACCTAAACATGTTCAACATTGATTCATGTCTCAATACAAAAGCTAAACTAGCTTACACTAATGACAAGAACCAGAAATGCATAACTTTGGCTAAACCAAAAAGCGTTTGTATAATTTGTTTCTTTGTGAGTATGTGATGTTCTTTTCTGTATCTCAGCTCTAGTTTTAAACAAGCATTGGAAGCGCTACCACAGCTACAGAGTGGAGCCGACAAAAAGTGAGTTAAATCTCAAATCACAATTACATTGTGCCTTACACTGACAAATAAATGTTAACTACTGGTCCTCAAAGATGATGATAATTAGAACTTTTACGTAATTAGAACCAATCTCACCCATTAAATGTCATGCCACATGTGCAAGTGACCAGGGATAGGCATAAATAGATGGAAATGTATTTAAATACAAATACAAAATGCTGTGTGGAAAAATGTATTTAAATACAAATACAGTATTTTGTATTTTGAAAATACATGTGAAATTGGCAATTCAGTGCAGGCATCCCTATTAGGCTGAAATCTATCTGGGCCTATTCTGAATGCCAACAATTATTTAGATGTGTGCAACTACTTAGAAACTTTCGTTTTCATTTTATATACCTCTTCCCTTCCCCAGCCCTGTAGGAACAAAAAAAAAAAAAAAAAAAAACTAATTTCAAACATCTTTTATTATGTTTTATCACCACCATTACCTCGCACTCAGTAACAAGAACTTAATAACACAAAGTCAATTATATTTTAAATAACTGATGGTACTGATGTAACTGATGTACTCCTCCAGGTGATGTACCTATGTGTTTCAGACATCTATCTATTCGATTCCCTTTAGCACCACCAGCTTTTCAAAAAGTTTGGGTTTAAGACGTCGTCTGTGTGGCCTATTGATTAAACGGTAACACTTTATTTGAAGGGGTGTGCATAAGACTGACATGACACTGTCATAAACATGACACTTTTAATGCAAAGTTGACATTGTTTAAAATGTCTTTGTTATGACAACTTGACATTAACCAAGACAAAAATGTCTTGATTATGACAACTTGACATTAACCAAGAAATCATAACCTGTCACAAATATGTCATAACAGGTCTAATGATCAAACTTAAAGAAGTTATTTAGCTTTGCGTTAACATTACATTACCCTGTCATATGTGGTTGGTTTTGACTTTGGCCGTCATGACACCATTATAACTGTAACATGAATATTTTACTTGTCCTCAAGTAAAGTGGAGCACATTGTACTAGTAATAAAGATGTCATTAAGGGTTATTACACTGTCAATTTTTTTAACAACAGTGTCATTAATATTTCCCCTTACCTCAAGTAAAGTGGAACACGTTATAAACATGGCAGGTTGACAGGTTATGATTTCTTGGTCAATGTCAAGTTGTCAAAACAAAGACATTTCTGTCTTTGTTATTGTCAAGTTGTCATAATCAAGACATTTTTTGTCTTTGTTAATGTCAAGTTGTCATAACAAAGACATTTTAAACAATGTCAACTTTACATTAAAATTGTCATCATTTACCGAATGACACTTGATGACAAAAGTCATAAACATTCATAAAGACTCCTTCATGTTCATGACAGGTGTTATGTCATGTTTATGACAGTGTCATGTCAGTCTTATGCACACCCCTTCAAATAAAGTGTACAGATTAGACCCGCAAAGGAAAATAAGTGTGTGATTGTGTTGAACCTCACAAACAGCTGTCTAATAAGTGGATACTGGTTCAAGATGTCCAAATCCTTCCTCTGATCTTTTAGGATTCTGGCTCAAAGTATTTTGAGTATTTTGAAAATACAAAAATACTCATCTTAAATGTATTTAAATACAAATTACATTTGATTTTTTTCCAAAGACTTTAAAATACAAAATAGTATTTTGTATTTCAAATACGTATTTTAAATACATGTATCTGAAATACTGCCCATCCCTGCAAGTGACCTTGTTCAGTTTGTGAAACCCGAGGGAGGGTTTCTACCAGACCAATCACAGCACTTGCAGTCCGTGTAGAATTGTATTACGTAAGGGTACACCATAGGCTACTCATGCTACACACAGCCTACGACGTAGCTACGGCATGAGTTCGACACAGAAGTATAAATTGGGCTTTTGGTGTAAATCATAAATCACTGAACAAGCCCTGATAATATGAATCAATTTAAATTGTGAAACTTTTAGAACTAGTGGGAAAGCATTATCTTCTTTATAGTGATCAACCTGCACTTAAAATGGGAAAATACAAAATTGCAAGAATGACTTTTGAATGGGTTAAAAGTCATTAACTGATAATGTTTTATATCATATGCCATCCATTTTCCAGCTAAAGTGTGTTTATGAATTAATCTCATGGAGTTGTATCATGCAAGTTGTAAGATTAAAAAAAATCGTAATATTTATTTTATAGTGATAAACATTGAACATTTTTAACACATACAGTACAGTTCTGTTCAAAAGTTTGAGGTTGGTAAGTTTTTTTTTTTTTTTTTTTTTTTTAAGGCTTATGCTCACCCAGGCTGTATTTATGTGATCCAAAATACATTATACATACATTACACTATTTACATATTATTACACATATATATATATATATATATATATATATATTATTAAGTTAAAAGTACAGATATATTTTGTGATGATTTGTTTATTTGAGGGTACATTTGGCTCTTTTCTAATCTCTCTCTCTCACTCTCTCTGTTCTCAGACTCTTGGAGGAGCTACTGAATAAGTTTAAGAGCAGTATGAAGCTACAGCTTAACTGCTTCAAGCCTGCCTCTTTTCAGCCTGTGAAACGATAAACCTTTACAAACCCCAACATTTCAAACAACACCTCTGCGATGTAACACTTAAAAACCATTAAAAGCCAATCTAGTGCAACTAATATAGCCATTTCTATCCACTGAACAGTGCTTGTGTTTATGAGGATGTGGAAGTCTGTTGATAATTAATCGACACATTATGACACATTGTACTGCCTCTTTGTCCGTCTTATTGACCACAGTTCAGTTAAAAACCTAAATAAATCTGTGCGCTAACACAAAAGTGGGTTTTCTGCAAACGGTATTGTGCAAAATAGTTGCTAGAGTAATTGTGCATTTGTGTGTGTGAGAGAGGTAGAAATAGCAAGAGTTTTGCTCTTTGTAGATGAAACTATTGAGTTCTGAAATGACTCGTCTCCTCATTTCATCAAAAGAGTCGTGACCACACTATCAACGATGCTTTAACACACCCTGTCTGGTGTTAGACAGAAAGACACACACCCTGCCCCTCCTCAGCAGTGTTGGGGTATTTTTACCCAGCAGTGTTGGGGTGTTTTTACCAGTTCCGGGAGGAGGTGTTCATTATCGAGAGATGTCCTTTACTGTAAACCTCTATTATTTTCCGTCTAACCCAGCTTTGGCATGTGGTTTAGGAGTTTATGATATAACTAACTAAAACACAAGCTAGGCACTGAGTTAAAGGGCACCTATTAAGCTTTTTACATTCCCTTTAGTGTATAATGCACAGTAGCTGTTTGTGTAACTAAACGATCTATAAAGTTACAGGTCAACAAAAAAACAACACTTGCCTGAAACAGCAATTTTTTATGTTTTTAGTCCTGTCATTATTTCTGTGACTTGGCAACAGAACATTATGTCTGGAGGGGATATTTGCACAGTATTTGCTTTTAATGACACTTTAAGGATAAATAATCAAAATATGAAGAGTGGTTGAGGTATTAAAATCACTAAATTATTTGGCCATAAAGACCAACTCCAGCATATGGGTTTTATTGTATTATGCAAAAAAGGCATAGAAAAACAAAAAGCTCACAGGAAATAAGCATACGTTGACTACAATGTAATCGATTATTAATATTTTGCTGGTTCTCCCTTGTTTTTGATTACAGCAGCCATTTTCCATGGCATTGACTCACTCAACTTAGTCCATGTGTTATGCTTAACTTCTTTCCAATCCGCCTTAAAAGAATAGTTCACCCAAAAATGAAAAGTCTGTCATCATTTAGTCACCCTCAAGTTGCATGCATACAAATATTAAATACATATTTAATAAAAACTTTTAATAAAGTGTGAAGCAGCCAATTCTCTTAGTTGGAACATCAGTTTTGGCCACTACTGTACATCACAATTTTATACATTAGTATACGCCTTATTCACGGCAGCGCCATCTTTGATTTTTAATGAGAATGAAAGCGAGGCTGTGAGGGATAGACTTGCATCTCTTCAATGGGCTGTATTGTTATTTAATGTGTTTTCGGATTGTTCTGCTCATGAAACACTGGAAAAATATCGGTAACACTTTACAATAAGGTTCATAAGTTAACATTAGTTAATGTATTTACTAACATGCACTAACCATGAGCAATACATTTGTTACTGCATTTGTTCATCTTTGTTAATGTTAGTTCATGAAAATACAGCTGTTCATTGTTTGTTCATGTCAGTTCACAGTGCATTAACTAATGTTAACAAGATTTTACTCAAGTATTAGTAAATGTTGAAAATAACATTAACAAAGATTAACAAATGCTGTATATGTGCTATTCATTATTAGTTCATATTAACTAATGTAGTTAACGAATGTTAACTAACGAACCTTATTGTAAAGTGTTACCAAAATATCTTTCAAAGAAATGTCAGTTGACAAAAAACTCCCGACAATGTAAGCTGTGGAAAATTGTAAGTAATCTAGCCGCTTTATTCAGCTTTTTACAGCGGATGCCATTGGAAACACGGTAAGTCTATCCCTCACAGCCTCACTTCCATACCTGTCTTGGCGCTGCTCTGAATAAGGTCTATAATGTCTGCCTACTGGCTACTTTGGTTTGTCCTAAAAAAAAAAGTTGGCTAAAAGTGTTTTGCTATGTTGAGGAGACTTTTTTTCCCTTCTTTTCACTACAATCCTGATGCTAAAGTTACCATAAATATATAATACTGTTAGCTGCTCATAAAACCTCGGGAGCTGAAACTCAATATGAAAGGTCTAAGCAGTTGCCCAATCACATCACATTCAGGCAGAGGGTGACAATAGGTTGCTGTGGGAATTAACAGTATGATAAACTGAATGAGAACCCCCCCAATATCATCAATATCATAAATATGATATTGTGAATGAGCATATTGTGAGCACTTTAAAATCTCGCAGGCTGCCAACATGGCGTCAACAAAGCTCCACAATGATCGGGATGTTTATGTTTACTTGTGTTTCATCGTAACTCGTTTAATCATTTGTGTAAACCTGAAAAGGTGCTGCGAAGTGACGCAAACCAATTTTTTTCCCAACACTTCAAGTCTTGTTTGTTGATTTCTATTCTTCTAAATTTAGAGTGCTTAACACCCACTCATTTAAGGAAAGCACTTTGACAAAATAGCATCAAAGCCCTGTGTGTGGCACCAGGTGAAAGCGTGGGTGTATTGATCTCAGTGCAGCTTCAGGGAAGTTTTTAATGATTGCACCTTTCCACTCTGTAGGCAGCGGAAAATGATCCAAAACATGTTTATGTGCTAATGTAGAGCCGTAAAGCCATAAACAGTGGAAAACTCAGAGAAATTTTGTTTGAGTATACATTTTCTCAGGATGTCCCATTCATCCCAAAGTTAAATTAAAGCATCATACGAATATTCACTTCTCAAAAGAAATAGGCTGAGCAGAATTATACATAACATTGTTTATTATAGCTTAAAGGTAGAAAAAAAATATATTTACGACGACAACAACAACAAACAAGTCAAACTGGCTGTTTTCATTGAGAAGGAAGAATAAATGATACTTCTGTCAGTCTGTCTCTTCCTCTGTGATGTCATCAAGCTGAGACTGCCCGCACCATCCTGTCTCCAACCACAAACACCATCCTGTGTGTGTGCTGTCATACACACTCTGTCTATATTCTCTTCGATGTAAACGAGGGCTTGAAGTCCCCCAGATCCTCACGTTCATGGGGATTCCAGTGTTTGTAGTGGGGGCTGAAAGAAATACCCTCCAGCCATTTGTACTAGATCTACAGTCAGCCCACCACACCAGTGATGGAGAGACTCAGACAAATGATGTCCACTTGTGTCTGTTCAGAGAGAAACCTCTCCTGTAGAAGCAAGTTATCCTCAAAGCATGATTAGTGTAAACTTTACTATTATTTTGAAATACTACTGCCATTCAAAAGTCTGGAGTCTCTTATGCTCATCAAGACTGCTTTTATCTTATCAAAATACAGAAATAAAATAGTAATATTGTAAGATATTGTTACAATTTAATTTTAAAATGTGGTCATTTCTCCTGTCTTCAGTCACACAATCCTTCAGAAATCATTCTAATATACTGATTTGCTGCTCAAGAAACATTTACTATTATTGTCAATGTTGAAAACAGTTGTGCCGCTTAAAGTTTTGTGAAAACCGTGATACGATTTCAGGTATTCTTTGATGAATAATGTTTAGAAGGATACCATTTATTTAAAATAGAAATTAATACTTTTATTCAGCAAGGATGCATTAAATTGATCAAAAGATTTCTTTCGGAAACAATGTACTTGGCTGACTTTCTGTACTGACTTTTAAACTATAGTGTGTTGGTTATTTTATTTTTTACTTTTTTTTGCCCATGTTTAATTTTCACCCCATTTCAGAAATGAGTGCACGCAGTCAGTTTTTCACCTTTTTTTATTAAAACCAAAGGTGACATGAATTCATCTCAATGACATATAAAAGCAAAAGTAGTGGAATAAAAAAGTATAACATTTTGTCAGAATTGTACAGAGAAAGCTTTATAAAATAACTGCCATTTGAACACTGAAAGGTTTTCATACTTGTTTTCCCTTCTAAATGCATCGCCAATACACATCCAAATCCTAATTCTTTGGCTTTTACTATCTAACTGCAAGACATCACAGCTCAAACAAACGTAGCAAGAAACACTCAGTCACAGCTATTCACACTTTACATTCTTATGTCAGCAAACAGCTCACATATTTGACATTAAATCGACAAGAAACAATCATTTATCATCGTGAGTTCTACACAGATTAGCATCTTTCTCAGTATTAAACATGACAACAGTCTGCGACTGATGCTGTCTGTTAGCACTATAGATTATCCTGGTGGGATTCTGCTCAGTTCCTTGAGTCTCGAAGCTCCAGGTGCACCGTAGAATTCCAACATTTGCCTTTTACACTTTAGCTTACAGAACTTGTGGCCTTTTTACAATTCTTCCATATTTCACACTGTTCAACCTTCATCCCGGGTTAGTAATTAGTCCTGGGTTGTCAAGTTTCAAGATTGCCCTGGGTTAACATTCTTGTTTGCATATTGATTGGACAAGTACGGCACTTGGTGAGCCTGCAAGCTATTTTACCGTAATAACTTCTTGTCCGTTATCTGTTGATAAGCAGAACGCCTTAACCGTGTGGCGTTAACCTCCTTTAAAAATTACAAATGTGAAAATAACGGGATAGTTCGTTAAAAAAAATGAAAATTCTGTCATTATTCACATTGTAAACGTGTATGACTTTCTGAAAGCAGATAATTTGTGAAATGTTTTCTAGTCCATACAATTGAAGTCAGTGCGCTCCAATGTTGTCCAAGAAAGAAAGTCATACAAGTCTGGAACAACATGAGAGTAAATCAATTATGACAGAATCTTCATTTTTAGGTGAACTCTCCCTGTAATCCGGGATTTAGCCTCCAGGGTCAATTTTGAGAGGCGTTGTTATGGTGATGCGTAACGACTCTGTGGTAATCTTGGGTCGGGGAGATGGCGTGCTCAGGGGGAAGGTGTGAAAGCTCATGGCTGCGGATGTAGTTCATGCTGCTTGGGTGACTGAGGTAGAGAAGCTGGCGAGCAAACAGTGGCTCAACCTGTGACACAATGACAAGAGCAAATTACTACATTAATCATTATGTTTCGCTCTAACAGTTCATCAGTATTAAAACGAACCAAAGAAATGTCATATTTTAAAGGTTAAAGACGAACCTGGACTGTGAATGTCCTTCTAGGCCTTTGCGCTTCAGCACTCTCATCCTCAAAGAATAGCAGCACTTGGGAACATGGCGCAGGACGAGCGTGCAGGGCGTAACTCTGCAACTCTACAGGAGACACGGAGGAGGAGATTATTCACAGCCAATGGCAGGTGAGATCCATAAATACATCGGCAAATGGTTGGAAGAGGGAGATAATGGAGATCTACACTACCATTCAAGCATTTGGGGTCAGTACCAAGGCCTCATTTATTTGACCAAAAATACAGTGAAAACTGTAATATTGAGAAATATTTTCAATTTGAATTGTGATGGAAAGGCTGAATTTTCAGCATCATTACTCTTCAAAAATCATTCTAATATGATGATTTGCTTCTCACGACACATTTCTTATTATCATCAGTGTTGAAAACAACTTCATATGATGTATTTATTTGAAATATGAATCTTTTGTAACATGTTTTCAAGCCATTGGGGTAAAGCATATGATTTCATGATCTCTTTCTGTAATACAAATGTATTTTTTCTCTATTTTCTTTCCACACTGAGCTTCATGTTGATCGTGGCACATGTGATTTCTGTGGTATTTGAGTTGTACTCATCATATGCTGGAAAGTTCTATGAGAATCACAACAATCGCTGAATCTCTTACAGAAAGTGGGTGTGAGTGAGTTGTAACTCATAGATGACTGACTGACTGTCACTAAATATCAACCCACAGATAATGTGACGCACTGTTTACTGTAAAAGCTTTGATGTGTTTGTTTACTGTAAAAGTGTGTACGGATAAGTGCAAATATATGATGTTGATACAAGCAATTAATTAACATAAAGGTTTACAATAAATGGTTCTCAGTTTTGCTGAGAAAGATGAGTGATAAAGTAACCTGTTTTTAACATGTCATAATCTTATTGTAATTAATCTGAAATGCCGACATGAATAGATGACCATGTACTAACCTGTTATGAACAGATGAGTGTCCAGCAGTTTGCAGTTCTGCTCTCTCTCCAGCTTGTTGGGTTTGTCAGTAGGTGGAGCGTGAGCTCCCTCCCAGTACACCCTGCAGGGGCAGCGGCGGCGGGCGTAGAGCCCGTCAGGAGCCATCCAGAGTATAACACCCCGCTCCAGAGATGCCCTTTCGGCGTGAGGGAGTTCAACCAGTTCTGGAGTCTCAGGTGAAGCGAAGGCCTGTCCCTCTCTGCTAGGGCCTAGCTGACAGCCATCTGGATTATTCACTGTTACCTCTCGCACCAGGGCATCCCGGTAAAACACCATCACATTTAAGCGGTAATCTATTCGAGAAGAAGATCAAATAAAATAAACTTTAATATGGTCTTTAAACGGTCCCACATTATATTAAGTGGCGTTAAAGGGATACACCACTTTTTTTGGAAATAGGCTCATTTTACCACTCCCCCAGAGTTAAACAGTTGGGTTTTACGGTTTTCGAATGTATTCAGCCGATTTTCTGATATTTAGAAGAATATCAGTAAACAGACAGTTTCTGGTCTCATTGACTTCCATAGTATATTTTTTTCCTACTATGGAAGTCAATGAGACCAGAAACTGTCTGGTTACTCATATTCTTCTAAATATCAGAAAATCGGCTGAATACATTCGAAAACGGTAAAACCCAACTGTTTAACTCTGGGGGAGTGGTAAAATAAGCCTATTTCCAAAAAGGGGAGTATCCCTTTAAGTGCTATCTACTTACATCGAAAAATAAGGACAAATGTACTTATTGTGTGAAACAACTAGGAAAAAATATGAGTCAAAATTGAACAATACCGTATAGCTATCAGCCAATATTAGAGTTTTACTTGTCATCATCTAAATCTCAATTGAAGCTAATCTTTAAAACACAAAAGTCAGCATGAAATGAAAATTCACCCCATCTATTTTCTATATGCATGTTATTGATTTTATTGTGAATAATTGATCCATGCATATCTTTCTTTTTTTTTTTCCAAGTTGCTTTTCAATAATCTGTTTCACTCGGATGTGCGAAAATATCTGTGGTTACTTCTGTAACATCATGACTTTAAATGTGATCTTTCTCAAATCTCAAAATGAATATCTATTTTTCATTCTGTACATCATCATTTTGTGATGCTTAAATTATGTTATGGTGTTGATGACGTAATTGCCTCATCACATGAAAATATTTAACAGACTTTTAGTTATTGGTCAGAAATTTTAATACTGTTCCACTTTTCTTTTCAAACCATTCTCCGAAATCATCTAGATGATCATCTTGATACATAATCAGTATCAGAAGTATAAATACTTGAAGACCAATCAATCCATTCCCATTAAGCCTGTCAAAGTCTCTGTGTGTCTATGATTATGTTTGAGCGTGTACAGTACCTGAGAGGGCCAGAGCCTCAGCGGATCTCATGCTGGTGTCCAGGGTGAAGGGTGACGGCTGTGGATCAGATGTATTGCAACTGAAGAAGGAGCCACTGAACTGGTACCCTGCGCATACAGAAATATCTCAATGCAATTGCTTGCAACATGAATTTGCTTGTATACTTTCTCTTTCAAGCACACACAGTAAGACAGTACCAGGGTCCCAGCGTGGAGTGTAGGGGCTCTGACTGTAAGGGATCTCAGACAGGGTGGGGTAATCCCTCCATCCTCTCTCTGCTGGAGAAATGTAGTTGCACACCTGCAATGACAAGCGCATATACAGTGATCCGAAGGGCAAAGATCTGAACACACAAGCCAAAGTACAACTAAGATGATGTTTGATTCTAACCTGAGAAGGTGCTGGTGCATAAGGTGGGTGTATTGGATAACTAGGTGAGTTTGAATTGGACTGTGAATCATCAATAGATCTGGAACCTGCAACATTTAAATATTATATTTTTTCATTATTTTCATCAGATATCTAAAGAAATACTTATAAAATAATCAGCGGCAAACAGCTGTTCTAATGTCCTTCATTCACATTCTGAAGAAATTTGAGAGCACTGAATATGGACTACACAAGCTTATATCTCATTTAGAATGCTTTTGATGTTTTTCTGCTCCCGCTTGCCTTTTTTGGATCCTTCCGGAATAATCCTATACACTTTATAGGGGTCCGATATGTCAAGTTGACTGCGTTCCACAATTTCCTCAAAGTCATTGCTCTTGTTAAGAGCACACCGAAGACGCGTTTTCCAAGTTGGTGGGTCAGGTTTATCGATCCCCTCCCGGAACTTTCCTTTGAATAGTGCCCAAGCCTGCAGGAGTCAATCAGATATGAGGATGTCCATAAAAATTTGTAATCTGTATAAGTAATCTGTTATAACATACAGGTGGCAAGTTCCTTGGAATGTAATCTTTGTTTTGTGTTGGTTTTTATACACTTTTCAAAAAATATTTGATTTGCATATGCTAAAAATGTAAAACGTACTTTCCTCCCATCTTGAATTTTTTTTTTTTTTTTGTAAATCTTGAATTTTTTAATCCTGAATATCAAACAATTTGACCTGAAGGGAAAAAAACTGCCATTCTGATAAAAAGGGCAAGATATTTGATTATGCAAACACTACTTTACCCTCTGGTGCTCATTTTTTACCCAAAAAGTGAGGTGTTTTTATTTTTTACTTTATCGTAATGGTACGAAACTAAAAAAATCTTGGACATGATTTCAAAAAGTTAAATGGTCCTGAAAAAAAGACACACATGTGCTCCAATGTGAGACAAAATTCATCTCATCAAATCTTTCAATACTGATGCCAAACAAAAAAATCTTCCTGAAAGCTCAATTTGAGATATCAACCACAAATTTGGAACACAACTTTTTTATGGCTTTGATTTTCTTGCAGTTTTAGAGTAAAACATGTTTTGAGAAGAATTGAAGATTTCATTTATAAATTTAAAATAGTATTGTCACTTTTTTTACTTTTTTCGCTTAAGCAATAATTTTTCAAATTTCGTATTTAAAAAATCAAACTGAAGCCTTTGCTTTAAAGCATTCAAGATTTATGTTGGAAATTAAATTTTCAGGTCTATGTCAAAAAACGTGAATAAATTGAGTATAACTAGACTACTGCGTAAATATAATGTAGTACCATAAAATATGAAACTAAAAAAAATAAAGGCCTATATATAAATTTGATAATTTGATCAACATGCGAAAGGCAGATGTTTTTACGTACATCTGTACAAATGGACACTTTTTAACTTTAAGGCCCACAAAATATTTTTAAAATCAATTAGAAATTAGAAACATGTGTTGTCTAACAACTGTATTTGAATGTATGTTATAATAAAAATGAGCGTTAAGTCATTGACTCGTGTAACAACTCTTCTCTGTTTGCAACACGAGTAGGCTATGGTCTCATGGGAGAAATAATGCGCTACTGTGTTACTGACGTTTCTCAACCCCTCCATGTTCAATCTGCCTGTACCTTGAAGAGCGCAGCATCCTCATCCCTGTTGTAGTCCTGCTTCCCCGCGTGCTTCCACGGAATCCGAAAGATGCTCTTCTCGTCGTTCTCCCACACGAGTCCAGGGTATTTTCCGGTGTCCACCTGCTCGATCAGCCACTGACGCAACTTTCCGTTACCTGAGCCCCCCGTCATCGCGCGCTCTTCATCCGAACACATATCTGAAAAGAAAAACGTATTTCATTCAGTTCTTTTCATTACCAAATTAATTCGAAATGGTGTAAACATGAGTATAAATAAATAGCTAAAAACGCAAGGAAGTCTGATTAAGAAAACGATGCATACTGCAGAAAGTAGTACAGGAGCGCGTGCTGCCCTCTTTCAGAGCTTTCGAGTTCTGAAATGTGTCAGTGCCGTAGTTCAGCTTTCGACCGCGACTTTTCTTCAATCGTTTGCATTGACAGGGGCGGAGCGTTCGCCACACACACACACACACAGTCACTGGATTCCACGCACCTGCAGCGCGCGTGAGATAGGCCTACACGACGGACGTCCCGTAAACGCGCGGGGGCTGCTCATGGTAAACCCACGCACACCAAAGCGGGACTTTTGGGGTTTAATAAAATAAATTTAATTTCGTTTAATTCGATGACGTTGAAATGTCAGCTGTGTTTATGCCTAACATTTGTTCATTTGTTTGTATAAATCTTTGTCTGGATTCCAAAGTGGGCTCATGCAAGATTATATACACGTTTAATAACACATCAACAACATTCATAAATAATTGGCTTCTGATTTGTTTATGGTGAATTCAAGTAAAGTGACAAATATGTTCCAGATGGCTCAGCCTCTAATACCATTTTACACCACCTTTATTGTATTTATTTTAAATATATAAACGAACTTTCTTAAGATTTACTATTTAAAACACCACTATTGCGTGTCAAACATTTATGACAATCACATTGGCCTAACCATCTTAGGCTTATCGCTACTTCATCACGATTTATGTGGCTTGTCATTTTTTATAGTAGGCTAGTTTAGCTCGAATATACGCTGTGTAATTTGTTTGGAAAAGTTTTTTCACCCGTCATCAGAAAGCTCCAAACGTGAAAGCACATTTCACCAGTGTCTCAGTGTCATTCTCATAAGGCTGGTCAGTGTGTCTATTGTAGCCAGCAGAGGGCAGTACTGGACCATTTAGCAATCTATAATGAAATCGCAATAGAATTTTAAAATGTTGCTCATCCTACAAAAATCATTTTCTTCCAGCTAGGCTAGTATTGAGAGACTATGGTTTAATGGGATAACTGGTTCATAGTTAACGATAATGCTGTCACAAAACTGTAAGATATCATTAATGTTTGCCCTATACCACATTGCGTCTATTAAGATTTTTTTTATGGATCAAACATGTCGAGGTGAGGAATTGTAACCTTTCTTTGCCAAAGGGAAAAAAAATACGTGGGGTGGATGGGGGTATGGGGTTTATGAATTGAAAAATATGTAGGCTATATTGATACATTTCCTGAGTCATTTGAAATTCAAATTTATTTTTATTATTATTGTTGTTTATTTTTTGCTACGTTTCAAAACACTTGAGATTGAAGATTGTATAGCCTATAGTTTTGCCCTATTCCTATCCAACTTTCAAATGGATGGATTATTGTAAATTATGAAGTATTACACATTTAAACTATATATGGCATAACCATCATCACTTAATTGTCCTATTTATTGGGCGAAAATTACTTTTAGCCCATAAATAACCTTAGCAAAATATCAAGGTAAATCACTTGTGCGTCGTCAAAGCAAGATTTACTCCATCCTATGTCATACGTACAATGATGAACGTATTAGTCGACAGATTTTAAACTTGAGTTTGAAAGTCATCCTGGCCAAAAGTGTCCATATTAAGGAAATAATAAATTACAACTGAAACTCAAAACCGAAAGCAACGACACTATGACGTAATGTAAATAAAATGGCAGCAGCGGCCTCAACAGTGAAAGGTAGCACGTTTCTGTTTGCTCTGGCATCTTATTACAACCACTTAACTTATTTTAACTGGCACACTCTCTTTGTAAAGTTGATTCATTAACGTGGAGTTTGTTATTATCAACAGCAAAGACGAGCGCTGTTTTTTTATGGGAACTGACGAACTGTCATAGAAATCTTGTCATAGAATCTTGTCATAGACAAGAACATATCCGAGTTGTTGGTTAGGCTACTAACCGCAGCACAATTTTGTAAGTAGCCAAATCTGGTGTTTGTAACTTTATATCAAGCGTGGGCATGATCGATATTGCGACGCACTCTTGACACAAAGTTTTATAGACTAATTATGCATTTCCCAGATTAGTGTGTTACTGGTAACCAATAGGTGAGTGTAATTGCGTTAATTTACACGCTAAAAGAAGAACAAGGAAGAAGAGATGACATGATCAAAGGGAGTAGTAGCCTATATGTTTCATTTGTCCCGGAAACTCCCTGCCAGAATGACTGAAAAAAAGTGTTCCCGTGATAATGAGCAAGATTCTATAGACGACAGCTTGGATGAAACTTGTATTTTCTGTAGGATCGCAAACGGCGACGATCCATACACCGAGATACTGGCGAAAGTAAGTTGTTGATCTTTATCGTAGGAAATAGATAACCAGGATTGGTTCCGTGAATGAATGCTTTGAAAAGAGTTGTCTGATACACGAAGGGGGTAAAGGGATAAATTGTTCTTTTTTTTAACTTAGTAATTATTTACTTTTATATTTACGTTATTTATTATTTTTTACACGTTTTCATTATGTGATTTAGAAAGTAGGCTAGCCCACGTCAGTACTGTGCTGATGTGACGTCAAGAGGAAGAGATTAGAAATAAATCTGAATTCTATAAACTAATATAATGAACATGTTATGAAATAAGAAAGTAGAAAATAAAAAATATATAATAATATTACTTAACTCATTACCATTATTATTATACTTGGATTTTTACTAGCTTATCTCAAATATAGGGCTATTTTTGAGTCAGAACTGTTGCTGTGACCTCAGGAGAGTGGTGGTCATTTTAGTGATTTCACTCTTCGGTAATTTCTTATTGGCTAATGAGCAGATATGGCCTTCAAGTAGCTTTGTAATGAATGAAAAAGTAATGGCATTACAACTCCTAATGTGATTCATCCAATATCCTGTACATTTATACATGACACATGTATAAGGGGTTCCATAACATATACGCAATAGTGCATGCAAACAAAATATAATTTACTTTTATCAAGTGTATTTACTTTTATTTAGGTTTTCCCTCTGTTTTCAGAGATATAAATAAACAATGTTTATATTATATATATATACCAATTACATAATCAGTATAATGTACTTTAAATGTCAAGGTAAATGATACATGGAATGTGATTCTTTGACAGGATGAGGAAATAGTTTGTTTCAAGGACATTAATCCAGGTGCACCTCATCACTACCTGGTCATACCAAAGCAACATATCCATAGCTGTTTGTCACTCCAAGAAAATGATATAGGTCTTGGTAAGATTGTCATATTTGAAGTTCATTTGATTAAAGTGAGTAAAGTTTTGCGAATGGTATCTGTATTTCTCGCCCCAGCAGTAACAGCCAGATAAATAAAGAATTGATTGGTTTATAATTAGCATATTAATATCAGACAGGCTATATATTATCATGATGTATTCAGACAATAGTAAACATTTATTTTTAATAAAATAAACCATTAACACATAGTTCAATAATCTAAATGTGTTTGTCTTGGGCAGTCACGAGGATGGCAGAAATGGGAAGAGATGTGCTGAAAGCCAGGGATGTTACAGATTTGGAAGATATCAGGTATATATTCTACAACACTACTATTACATTAATCAAGTGTTTATTTGGATGAAGCCGTTATTAAATGGAAACATGACTGTATTTTAGTCTAGGTTTCCATGTGCCTCCATACATCACCGTCCCCCACCTGCACTTGCATGTTCTTGCACCTTTCAGTCAAAAATTTGAATGGTCAATGGTAAAGTTTACAAGCTTCTGGTACCTCACTGTGAGTAAATTAATGACACTTTTGCCATTTCTTATGAACACTCGGTTGCTTATGAGTTCTCATTGTTTCTCTGTGTGATGTCTTATAGGAGGAGAAGATGCTTCACAAACTGACGAAGATTAAAAAGTCGGATGATCGGAAAATAACATGTAATAAATGCATGGAGCCATGTGAAGCTATGTGAGCTTTATGACTGAAGAAACTTGAAATCTTGAAATCACAAGCCACTTTAGTGAAGATTGTCTATTTTGTTGTTTGGTTTCAACCTCAAAAGCCAGCATAAACCAGCCAGCATGTCACTTTTTTTATTTATATGTTTCTTTAACACTTATTTTATAAGTATTTTACAACAAAGTATTTTTAAAAACTGAAATGTATGCACTAGAACAGTCAATTACTATTTATAAATCATCATATAAGTGTAATCTAATCAATAATAATTATTAAATGGATGAAAATGTTAATTTTGTGTTGTTGATTGTTACATATTCTATTGTGAAAGATTTATACTGTGAGCCATAAATTATAACTCGTTAATGGATTGTCGCACCATTTTTTGTTTCATGCAGTGTTCATGTCACATTTGTGTCACGTACGGTATTTTCTTGCAACACATTCTCACCCTAAGGCGTCACCTTTGACCATGCTTCAATATTTGACGTTTTAGGCGCCCTTTAGCGTAAGCATGACGCGATCCTAAGGCGTCATCTAACTGACGCTGAAGGAAAGCGTCAGTTACATGACGCGGTTAGGTTTAGGTCTGGGGTGGGGGTAGGGTTACACGCGATCAAAGGGCGTCATCTAACTGACGCTAAAGGGCGCCTATAAAGCGTCAGATATTGAAGCATGGTCAAAATGCTTAATGTAATCTGAGAAACAACTCCTAAATAGTTATAAAATATGTGTAAATTATCTAAAAAAAAGAGTCCAGTGCCTTTAAGTCCATGAAGGTAAAGTAAAATGTACAATTGTATAATGTGATTATACACTGTACAAAATATTTTCAAGATTTGTTATCACAACATATTTTCTTTTGTCAAATCAACTTTATAATAATTTCTTTAGTTGAGATAACTTATTATTTTGAGTTTCTGATGGTTAAATGAATCTACTTCATTGTATTAACTCACTTTTTCCAGTTCAATCAACTTAAAATTTTAAGGCAACCCAGGTTACTTACTTTTTTAAGTTAAACCAACAATATTTTTTTTTACAGTGTAGTAATCACAACATTTTTTCTTTTGTCACATCAACTTAAATAATTTATTTAGTTCAGAGAACATATAATTTTGAGTTTCTGATGGTTAAATGAATCTCCTTCAAACTCACTTTTTCCAGTTCAATGAACTTAAAATTTTAAGGCAACCAGGTTACTTACTTTTTTAAGTTAAACCATCAATATTTTTTTACAGTGTACCACACAAGGCAATCAGAATAGAGTTGTCAACAGATTTTGCCTAAATTATTTTAATTTTAATATTGTCTCTGTTTCCTCATTCTAGCTAAGAGAGACTAAAAACCTCAAGAGAGTGAGAGCGTACTATAGGGAAGTTTCCCTCATGGTGTCAGATGTTGTTACATGGAAAGTACAAAAAAATTGGCTCAGTTGAGGATATCTATCCAGTTAGCCCACAAAGATGAATGAAAAGCCTAATTTAATTAGAAATAATTCATCAAGGATTTTAAAGGCATCATTGGCCTAGGCCTATATTTACTACTTGAAAAACTGCAAAAACCGAAACATTTTGTCACATGCAATTCACTTATTAATAAAGACAAACCAAATAAATATTACATAATATAAGATATTTTATTGAGCTAATATGTTTATCTTATAAACCTTAAGCACATTCCTTCAAAAAAGGAAAACAAATTGAAAAGAAAAATATCAAAACATGCTTCATATTCCGGATATTTAATGCAAAAGGGTCTAGAAAGTGCATATTCAATAAAACCACCTTAGATGAATGAAAGATGTAATAAAAGACATAACAATGTAAGATATTAATAAATAGCCTATCCTGCAATATAACATCAGATTAAAAGCTCTTTTGCCTTTATGTTAACTTTTACCTCAAACGCTGGGTGTGAATGTGATTTCTGTATGTTTACAGGGATTAATCTGCAAATGAAAAGACGTCTACATGAAGGCATGTAGTGAGAAAGCCTTTCATTTTTTTTGCTTGTTTTACTTGTTTGCTTACTTTGTGATCGTTCAAAGAGCATAGTCTTGGAAGACAATGGTCCTGAAATACAGAAGTCGGCAGATACTGCAGGCCTCCAAAAGTCCACACTGTCCACAATCGCTCAGATCAGTTTTTTGCACATGGAAAGCATCCACAGAACATTTTCTTGAATGGGTTGTTTTTGTCATGTCTCTTTGCCCGTTCCAGTTTGACAAGGACTTCGCCAAGCATAGCATCGGTTTTCTGAACATTGTTTAAGATGTAGTCTGTCATGGGTCCTTGTTCCTCTACAAGCATAGCCACGTCCAGGAACACTTCATGAAGGCTCTTGATTCGGCTTTCTAACTCAAGCAGGTCCCGATGTCGACTCTCGATCTGGTTGAGCGCGGAACGAGCCGTTTTCCCTTCTGACATGACGTTGTCGTTGAAGATGTTCCACTGACCATTCTCTAGCATCTCTTCAATCTGGTCACCTGACACCTCTCGGCCCACGATCTCCATTTGCCGTTGAATGTGACGCTTGCAGGATTCCTTGTGACTCATCTCAGCATCGTTGTAATCGGTTATTGTGTCTCGGAAGTTGTTGCTTAGGCTGGTGTACTGTGTTCGGGCGATTCTTGCCACAGCAGAGTTGATGCCATGCTCCTCTTCAAGCTCTTTGGCATGGGCATCCATTTTTTTGAGACGTGTCAGAACGTCCTCACCACGGGTCTTGATGTCCTCAGCGATGACATTGGCGTCATGCTTTACGTGTGTTGTACGAGTTGGCTCGCTAAGTAAACGTGTGTTTTGGTCCCTGAGACGCTTCACCTCCAGGCGGATGAGCTGAATCTCACGCCTAGTGTCCTGAGCCTCATCGAGCACAGACTCCATCTCATCGCTGTTGTCATAAATGACGGCCTGCTGGTGGAATTCGTCCAGGTCCACATTGCTGAAAGACTCTGAGTCCAGCTCTTCCAGATCACTGTTAGACTCTGAAATGGTCTGAAGATGATCCAGTCGGTCCCTCATGATTCCTAGAGGGGAGAATGAACAAGAAAGGACAACATCTGATGTTAAACAGTCCAAAAAAAAAATGCATAACAATACCTTGTGTAGCCTAGTCGTTGTTTTCAAGACTAAACTTATTTTCATTCTTTGTGTACCTTCTGAAACTGACTGAAAAGGGGGAGATAATACTTCCTTATCAACACTGAAAAAGTCACACGTCTAACAAGTTGACCTGTGAAACTATTTCAGACTGGCGTCACTCACCAAACAAGTTTGAATGGATTGAATTGATAGTTCAGCCTTTGTTTCTTCATAAATGGTGTTCTCTCCGATTATGAATATTTTACTAATAAATGTATGAATAAGATGTCTAAAAATATTCAACTGAGTTCAAGTAACTAAAGCGTTACAGTTTACAAAATAAGTCTATGTAAACCTGTTTTTTTTTTTTACTTTTCAAAAGACAATATACAAGTTTTAATGAAATTTCCTCAAAGCAGCATTTTACTAATTGTTTTCATTGGAAATTAATTTTGTAGGCTACATTTTCAAGCATTTTACAGTTTTACACTGACAACATTTTAAAGAATATATTGCTTCTATAAATAATTATATATTAAATTGCAAAATGGAGGCTAAAAATGTGAAAGAAAAAATACATTTCGTCCACTACAAAGCACATTACCTTATATTTTTGTCCAAAATGTCACCACTTTAACTTATGCCGATATGTCATCTGAAGGCTGCAACTCCATCCTCAGTGCAGCTGTAATGGGTGGCGGGAAGGAATGCGCGTTCCAGGGCGTAACTTTGAAGCCAAACCTGTTCGCTCAACAGAATGTCAGACGTGTGTTTCGGTAACATGTGACATAAGCTCTTTTTTTGTTGTTGCGAAAAGTGACTGAATTCGATGTCGTCTTCATATCTGCTATGTCATAGAGGTCGAATAGCTAGGAGTTGGGCTCTGACAATCATGATTTATAGATTAGGGATTCAACAACTAAATTCGATAAGCATATACTGACAGTGAAATGAAGGATTGCTTAAAATGATAAATTTACTAAAGAAATAAGAAGCTTCGTCGGTAATTTAAATTGATATTTGTTCGTCACACTAAAGACTAACGAAAAATAGGCTATGTTGGCAAGCAGCTGGCAAAATTAGGAAAGTAAATAGCAATTTTTCTCCCAATAGGCTACTTAAAATTAATTGTTATTATAGCCTGTTATAGCCTAACAACCACCATTGCATTAGAATAAATGCATTTATAAGTTATTTGCATAGTAGGCTACGTTTTTAACTTGAAGATTTTTTCTAAGTAGCTACTTTGTAATGACATTTAGCCTACGCGGTGATGAGTCAAAAGATTTCTGCTCAATATGTCTCCCTCAATAAATTGTGTATTCTCTTAACGTTAAAATCTTTGACACGGTGCAGTAGACTTAAAATGTACAACACATAAACGGCGATAAAAAACGAAAACAATTAATTTGGACTTTATTTTTAAAAAGCCTCATGTGAGCCATCGAGTGGGCTAGCTTTTTTCTTTGGTTAATATTTGGCCTAATGCTTGAAGAAACGTGCAAGACGATAAATAAACCTCAACTTACAATGTTAAATAAGTCAGCCGCAAACAATAAATAAACAACATAAACCTGAAGAAACATCAGAGAAAAAATACACAAGGGGTAGGCTATTCTGAATACCTTTAGAAAACTAAGTTACATTAAGGGCTTTTTTTTGTTCCGCATGTCTTGAAGATCATTAAATCTGTATGGCAAAATAAGAATGTGGGACGGGTTGGGGTTAGTAGCTTTGTTCTGGAGCTAGAGCTAACTTGGCCTCAGCTCCTCTTATCTCTCATCAAGTGACACATCTCTGCTGCCCTCTGCCGGACATGATCTCTGCGCAACCTGACTTGGGGCGGGTCTGTGTCTGATGTATTACAATTACATCACCACCACCGATCATTACTCACATGCGGTGAAATTGGGTGAATGTATTTTTTTTCTTAGGCGAATAATAACGTGATTTTGTACCCTGCAACGCTGTTTTTTTTTTTTGTTTGTTTGTTTTTTTGAGAGGAGTGCAGTGCACACAGAAGGAAGGACACAATTTGAGGTAGGCCACAGTGATTTGACACAGCAGAGTATTTGTATTGCAAAACATTAAACGCAGTACAGTTTTCAATCATTTTTTATAAATGTAGCATCCTACTAAATACTATCTTTATCTCTGACGGAATAAATACAATTAATACCAATTGCGATTTTTTGCCTTCTCTTCAAATAATAAAAAAACTGCATTATGATGAAGCAGAGCCTAGAAACGTAATAAGTGTGAAAAGTAAAAAGCTTAGCTTATGTTTAAACGTGGAGCTACAAAAAAACAAGTCTGTCTTGTCTGACAAGCTTTTGGTGACATGAGAAGACTACGGGCAACGTTTCCACATGGTAGGCGTTTTGACGTCCATGTTACGCATGACAACAACGAATATTCTGTTTTTAAGAGCTGGTTGTTGTTACCAAAATGCCTATTGTATATTTTATGTTCATGTGTGTTGGCTTTTCTAATTAACTGAATAAATAGCTACTTTTTACTTTTCAGTCATGAGGGACAGACTTGACCACCTCCGGGATGTATCAGTGTCTAATGAGAGTGTTGCGGAGTATGAAACTGGCCAAACTCTCCCCCCTTCAGAAAACACAACCCATGATGATCCTCCTCAAGATAGGCCTACCAGCAACAACCCTGACATGGAAGCTGTCTTTGATGAGGCACAAGAGGCTCGGCGTCAGATTCAGTACATCAGTCTGGAAGTGAAGTGTCTCAGGGAACGAAACTCACATATTTTTACTGGTGCAGTCGGTTCTAGTGCTTCTAATACCTTCTGTGACTCTGATGCTATCGCTGCTGGCATTAAAACCAGTGGGCAGGAGATGCTTGCGCACCTTCGCAAAATGGATTCCCACAGGAAAGAGTTAGAGGAAAAGTATGGCTTCAATTCAACAGTGGCGAGAATCGCCCGAACACAGTACGCCAGCATAAGCAACAGTTTCAGAGATACCATGGTGGAGTACAACGATGCGGAGATGAGCTACAGAGAGTCCTGCAAGGCATACATTCAACGGCAGATGGAAATTGTGGGGCGAGAGGTCACGGGTGACCAGATCGAGGAGATGCTGGAGAGCGGTCAGTGGAACGTTTTCAGTGAGAACATGGTTTCAGAAGGGAAAACTGTACGGTCTGCACTCATACAGATTGAGAGCCGTCATACAGAACTGCTACAGCTGGAGAGACGCATTCAGAGCCTTCATGAGGTTTTTCTGGATGTGGCCTTGCTAGTAGAACAGCAGAGCTCGATGATAGACTACATTCACACCAATGTTCAGTCAACGGAGGTGGAGGTCAAGGAGATCCTTGTGAAGCTGGAGCGAGCCAAGAGACACGATAGGAGCAACCCGTTAAAAAAAATGTTCTTCTGGAAACGATGACATGGCCACAAATATCACAGTTCAAAAGAAATACACTAAGTGATCTGATTTTTTTTTATTATTTTTTGTATTACCATTTTATATTTGTTGCTATGTTTTTTTTAGGCATTCATCTTCTGAAGGAAAACACACATAATAGTAATTTTGTGCAAGACACTGATATCCAATACATATCTCAGAAGTATCACAAATAGTGAAATTTGTGCATTTTTACAGTTGGCTGTTTTGGCAAATACTTTTTTTTTAGTTTGACATTTTAAATGAAGTTTTTATTCTTGGGATGGAATGACTAGTTGTGATGATGGATCTCTCGTGTATACAAAAATGTTATCAGCTGTATCTCATTCTGTGTGGATTCATTCATTAAAAGTTTCTTGGCATAAATTAGAGGATAACTTTATCACCCTAATTAGATCACATGTGTCTACCTCATGTGGAACGTGATGTCCCTGCTCACATCTAATAAACCAACACATGCAATTTATACAAAAACTGTCTGACTGGCATAAAAAGTTGCTATAGAAGGTCGCTATAATACACCTAGAAAACTGTTCAATTACCTTAATTTTAAGGAAAACTATTCCCTGCAATTAGTTGCATGGAGAAGTTTATTTATTTAAGTTTATGAAGCAAATTTTTATTTGACTGCAGTTTCATCATTATATGCATGAACACATAAGAAGAGACTGATGTCAGCAGTGCTGACATTATGGTTGTTACTGAGTAATACAAACTCACAGCAACCATCATCTAAAAAAATAAATTCACTTAAATCATCTCTCCTTGCAGTCCCTTGCAAATCACACTGAACTCCAGATCTATGCTCAGTTAGTTGTCAAAAATGATGCTAACACAAATGGACACAAACACAAATAACTAACACAGTGCTAACACAAATGGATTAAGTAAAGTTCACTTTTAAATATATTAGGTGGATTGAACACAACAAAATGTTCAAAAATCATGTTGCTTTAGCTGATTAGCTACAATTTAACTAATTGTACTGAACAAGAGGCAAAAATATTTGTTAACGTAGGCTACTTTGTGTTATAAGATTGTGTTCCTGGGACAACTTTGTTAAATATGGTGATAACTTAAACACACACACACACACACAGATGTAAATTCTATTGATATATACACTATACCTTTAAAAAGTTTAGGATCAGTAAGATTTTTTTTCAAAAGTAATTATTCAAGTTATGCAATAAATAAACCAAAAGGGACAGTGAAGACATTTATAGTGTTATAAAAAGTATCACGGTTTGCAGAAAATTAAGCAGCACTTCAAGTTTTCAACATTGATAATATGATGAAATGTTTCTTGAGCAGCAAAACACCATATTGGAATGATTTCTGAAGGATCATGTGACATTGAAGACTGATGATGAAATTTTAGCTTTGCCAGCAATGGAATACATTATATTTAAAAATATATTGAAATAAACATGTTACATTGTAATAATATTTCAAAGTATAATACTGTATTTTTTATCAAATAAATGCAGCCTTGGTGAGTACAAGAGACTTTTTTCAAAAACAGATCCTAAACTGTTTGAACTATAGTGTATAGGCTATGTACAAACACAAAACTCATGACATGAATGTGACTGCTGGATTGGGACAGGTTAATGTGATGACATCAATTAGACAATGCTGTTCATATTGTGCTGCCTTCAATCATTCTGTTTGAAAGAAACTGCCAGTGTGACTTGGCCTACTTAGTTTGCTGAGAGTCGTAGGCTAAATATCTTTGCAAATGTAGGCTATCAAATTAATAAAAATCTAACTTATTTAAACAACAACAGAAATAACAGCAACTAATGTGTAGTAGCTACAGATTTGTAAATAGAAAGAAAATAACGAGTTAACAAAAGGAGATGTTGCACAGTAGGTGAGTCATTAGTTCTTGCTCAGACTTGTGAATAATATTACATAAATGCCAAGAGTGCATTTCCTCCCTGTGTGCATTGCGCGCGCCACTCAGTCGGGCACGCGCTTAACTTAGTCCAGGTCAGCTCGAGATCACCTTAAGCATCAGACAAGAGTCAAGACACCGCGACCGCGCTGCTTAGCAACTCCAAACCAGGAGCACGATGAGACTGTCGGTCGCTTTTCGCCATGCACATCGGAGTCACGCGAGCATACGTCGATCACGCGCCTGTGTTAAAGTTCCAAACCCGGAGAAGAACAGATTCATACATGATAATATCGCTGTTTCTTTTGTATCGGTTCGGAAAGCAAGTTCGACCAGCGGTACAACCGAAACGGTAGCGAGCTTTAAAAGGCATCCACGAAAAAACGATGGACCGCTGTATGGAAGTGCTGTTGGGTAAGAATAAAACACGTTATTAAGTTCCTAATCGGACAAAATTTAAATGTTCTAAAATACGCTGAATGGTTTTGTGATTGTAACAGTTTTGTTTGGCTTAACGTTAATGTTATCTGTCTTGGCGTTGATTTGTTTCCACGTGCTACCAGCTGATGTAACTTCTGCCTCCCATTATGCACAATGAACGCTGGCTAGCTGCTACATATTTATAACGTGTTACTGTCTGAATTAAATTGTACTTCCCAAAAGTGTCTTTTAGTTTTAACTTAGCCTGTCGTTATTTGAGGTAATGTGTCCTCATTTAACCCGCACTCCTGGTGGGCTATGACAAAACTGACTTTTTTCACAGATTTGAATGTGTTTGTGTGATCAGAAATAACCGACATTTGTTGAATATATTGAAAATGTCATGAATTAAAATCACTAAAAATGCATCATTTTTATGTAAGTTTTATTTCATGTGAACCCTGAAAATGAAGAGGTAAGACTAAGTTACTAACAAAGTTGAAGCTGTTTATTATTCAAAAAAGTAAATACGTCTTCTAGATAAAAACAAAAACAGTTCGAGGTAGTTTTTTTTATTTCAATAAGAATTTCTTTCTTTGTCTCCTTTTAGATTTAGAAAGTAACAGGGTTAATACATTATTTTATATCCATGGGAGTGTTACACCATCAATTAAAATTTTATATATATATATATATATATATATATATGCGTGAAATCACTCCATACATGACCACCACTCCTTAAGTGATAGAAGATGTAAGACTATAGAAATAGTATAAAAGTATAAAGAAATTCCTGGACCGTTCTGTTCATTTTAAACATGGGTTTTATATTGAAGCAAAAAAAACAAAACAAAAAAACACTTGTTCATTAATGTTTTAATTTAATTTTAATTTATTTTTACAAAATACTCAAATACTGTGATGGAAACTTGTGTGTATTTATTTAGACTAAATCATTGCCAAATCAAACCCTACAAGTGACCCCTATATATCTCATGGATATCTGTAAATGGAGTCAAAGGTCTGGTAGCTGCTACAAAGGGTTAAAGTAATCAGTAAAGATGCCTTTGCAACCAGCCTTACAAGAGATGCTTACAATGATGCAACAGACTCCTCAGTAACTATAAGATAAGTTTATCTGCAACTAGTTAAAATGTGTTGGCCAGCCTGCTTAAAATGATTATAGCTGAACAAAACTAATTACTCATAACATTATTCTAATATTTACTTAATTTAATTAGTCTTCATTGGTTTCTGTCAGACAGCACAGTAACAGGACATCGGTATAGTTGTTATATGCTGCATGTGTGTGTGCCAGCATAAGTTTTAAACTTGCACAATCTGTGCAGACGCAGGGTGAAGTTGTGTTTCAGTATTTAGAGCAGTTGAAGATCTACGTGGAATTAAAAAATATTTGAGTTTAGGTAATGTTAGAATTTATTGTCTTATTGTACTGATATAATGTTTGGCCTAAACCTTGTATCTAATGCTTTTTTCGATCTGAGGTTCAAGATGTTGGAGTGTCATTTGATGTTTGCTGCATGGTTGACATTGATTTTTGGTGCAGAGCAGTCAGCAATAGATAACCAAATTGTTTAAGACGCTTATCAACTTTGTAAGCTTGATATGTAAAAAAACAACAACAACTAAAGTGGTATTTGATGTGTTTTATGCTCATTTAATGAAATGTTCTGCCCTGTTATTGGCAGTTAGTGAACATGCAGAATGCTACTATTGATTAAGTATGCAATGAAAACACTGAGTTAATGGTTAAATGTATTTGTTTCCATCTCATTTACAGCGACATTGTTCAGAGGAGCAGAGAAGAGCTCAAAGCTATTAGAGAAACCAACCCAGGCATCACACCTACACTTGCTATCATACAGGTGTGATTAGAGAGCATATGTGTATCTGTCGCCATGTTAATGAATCTCAGACACTAAAAACTGTTATGTTTTTACTTATGATAAGGCTGGTGAAGATGACAGTTTGCTGGAGGTGAATAAGAAGATGGCTAGAAAGGTATGGTCTACCTATTTTTCTTCTCATCTGTGATTTATTGAAGGGGTCAAGGTTTAGCTGATTAACACCCCTGTGCTGTGTGATGCTGTTATTTGACCCTCCACGTGTGTGTATGCATGTTCTTGAATGGTAATTGACTCATGAGGACATGTATAATGACAATGTAAACACGGCACAAGTCAAGTCACATTTATTTATATAGCGCTTTTCACAATACAGATTGTATCAAAGCAGCTTCACAGTGATAACATGAAAGTAGTACAACACAGATCAATAATATTGCTAAACACTAAATAACCCCAACTGAGCAAGCTCAAAGCAAGCCAAAAGCAAGGCGACAGTGGCAAGGAACCAAAACTCCATCAGATTGGATGGAGAAAAAACCTTGGGAGAACCCAGGCTCAGTCGGGGGCCAGTTCTCCTCTGGCTTACATTCATATTGTTTATATATAAATATTAAATATAAACATTGCTTATTATGACACTTCCTGTGTTCTTGTAAACCAAATGGCTTAATAATATACTAATGTTTTTTTTAATGGCGGGTCCCCGTAAACCAAATATACAAGTGTGTGTGTTTGTTACAAGTAACATGCAAATTTTCCATTACATCATAGTGACCGATAGCTTCAATAGATATTATGTACCACCTTGAATTTGTTGTGTTTTGATTGTCCATACAGATCGGCTTAAACGTAATGCAGATTTGTCTTCCACGCCAGTGCTCCGAGGAGGAGGTCAGTGATATTGCTACTCTATAATGCAATAAATAGCTTTTGTGAATAAATACATGTAACTGCCAGTGCAGTTCTGTCTCCTGAATTTTTGCCTCTGTTCTACAGGTGATCGAGGAGATCTTGCGGTTAAATGAGGACTCTCTTGTTCATGGCATTTTTTTGCACCTTTCTCAGTCCTTCTTCTCCAGAAGTGTCTTTAATGCCATCAAGCCCCAGAAGGATGTGGATGGGTAAGCTACAGTTTTGTAGAAACTGCATGTTGATGTGTGTAAACGGGGTCCAAAAATAAGTTTTTGTGGGTAATTTGAGAAGTTTTTCACTGTAAATATACAGTATTCTATCTGACATGATACTGTATTTTGCTCGCATTTAGTAAAAAAAACAAAAATTGTGGATAGAAATGTTTTCCACACAAAGACACTTCTGTACTTTGTGTATGTGTTTGCAGGGTCTCTGACCTTAACGTTGGCCGTGTGGTGTTGGGGGATCAGAGAGATGGCTTTGTCTCACCTGTAGCTGGAGCTGTGCTGGAGCTACTTGCCAGACATGGTGTGTTTATGCGTTCTGGCATTCGTTGTTAAAATGCATACATGGACGTTAAAATGTCTATGTCCAAAATGTTTCACAGACATATAATGCTAATTCTAATGAATGTAGTGCCTCTAAAAGTAATTTAACTATTCAAAAGTGTGGGCTTAAAATGTTTTTAAAAAGACTTCCACTCACCAAGACTGCATTTATTTGATAAAGTAATACTGTGAAATGTTTCTACAATTTTAAATAACTGTTTTCTATTTTATCATATTAAAAAATGTAATTTATTCCTGTGGTGTTATTCCAGTCTGGTGTCTTCAATGTTCCTTCAGAAATCATAATATGCTTATTTGGTGCTCAAGAAATATTTCTTCTTATTATTAATGTTAAAAACAGTTGTGTTGCATATTTGTTTAAGACTATTTAATGAATAAAAAGTGAGTTTTTTTAGAATCGGTTTAAATTTACAGCATTTACATTTTTGTTCTCGCATTTAGATGCCCCATTGGTTGGCAAGATGGCAGTGCTGGTGGGTGTAAAGGGCCCCCTGATGGTGGCTCTTCAGTTCTTGCTGCAAAACAATGGCATGATTGTGCAGACCTGCCAGTGGAGCTCAAAGCACCTGCAGAAACAGGTAAATCAGCTGCTAGATCTGTGGGAGATTTTTTTTAGGTCAGTTTTAATGCATAATTTGCTTTTTGTACCAGCAGGGGGCAGTGCTGCTTTATTTCATGACAGACATTTAGATAAATCATGTGAGACTTACACTAATTGGACTTTCTTTCTTTCTTTCAGGTCATGGACTCGGATGTGGTGGTATTGTTAGACACAAGCCACAAGGGCCTCCCACCCACCTGGTTAAGACCAGGGGTGGCAGTCATCAACCTTGGCTCGGCCCTGATGGAAGGTATATTTCTTCAAAGTAAAGCTGTAACGCTTGGCATTACATTGCTGGTATATGTAAAACATTCAAGGCACTTCTTTGCTTGTCATTTGAGAATTGAAGGAACTATTTTATTGGTACTACACTGGATGTGAAAGTCAAGCATGTGATTTCTCCAAAACATAATTAAGTCAGGCATGTGGCTTTCTTCACCTTCCATTACCTGCCATCTCTTTAATAGAACCTAATGGATATAGAGGCCCATGCTATTTCCTCCACAGAGATTTCATTAGTGTGGGAACATAAGACACTGGTAATTGTATTTCCTTAGATGCTCCGTCTGGCCCAGTTTTTCATGTGTGATCTTATTTTCTAGAACACGGTGACAGTTGGGAGCCCAGGATGGAAGCTAAATCTGATGCAGGAGTTGGGCCTCTAAGTGCTGCGCTTAGAATGCAGGTGAGAGGTCTTCTGTTGTTGTTTCTTCTTTCTATTAATGTCTTTATTATTATTAATGTCTTTATTTATTATTCTGTCAACTTTATCAAATTTTCTGAACCTGTGATTAGCCAATTTAAAGATTAATGTCTTTGACTGTTGAATATTTATTATATAATATATGAAATTATATTTATAGTGTATCTTTAAATATGTTCACAGACTACAATTCAAAAGTGTATGGTCTAAAAGATTTTAAAATGTTTTTTTTTAAAGAAATGAAACTGTTTTCTATTTGAATATACGGTATGTCAAGATGCAATTGATTTTTTTTTATAACCGTATTGTTTGCTGAGATGTTTGTAGCTGTGTTATTGTGATCTGTTAGCATGTTGTGAGGAGCAGCAGAAGGTGGTTAGAAGAACAGGAGTACCAGTCATGGAGGCTCCGCCCACTAAAACTTCAACCACTCTCACCTGTTCCAAGGTACGAGCAGCCTTGCCTTTTGGTTTCCACAAAATGTGCATCGTTCTGACTTTTGCTTGTGCATTTGTGCATAGAATTATTTAGTCTCACCTTTTCTCTGTTTGGATGTTTCTGTAACCCTCAGTGATATAGAGATCTCCAGGGCACAGACTCCCAAGCCCATATCCCAGCTGGCTCAGGAGATTGGGCTGCTTCCAGAAGAGCTGGAAGGCTACGGGATATCCAAAGCCAAAGTCCGTTTGTCCCTCCTCAACCGCCTCCAACATCAGCCTGATGGCAAATATGTCCTGGTGGCAGGGTGCGACATACATTTTTACTTCTGTCATTGAAGTTTAATTCATATCTCAATAATTATCTAAACCGATACAACATTAAAGCAATAATACAAATTTTTTATTGAACCACAAATTTCAGAAAACTTCAGGTTATTTAATCTGTAATTCTGCTTTTATTTTCAATCGGTCAATGGAAGATGGAGTCATGACCACCATTTTTGTATTTCAAGAACATGAATAAGATATACTAATACTTTCAGAGGTCAAAAGCATTTTAGGAAATCTTCAGGTCAATGTTTGTGTGTTTAGTAACACTTTAGTTTAGGGTCCAATTCTCACTATTAACTAGTTGCTTATTAGCATGCATATTATTAGGATATTGGCTGTTTATTAGTACTTCTAAAGCACATATTAATGCCTTATTACACATGACCATATTCTACCCAATACCTAAAGTTAACAATGACCTTACTTACTATTAAAAAGCAATATTTCAGAGTTTATTGAAGCAAAAACCGTAGTTAATAATGAGAATCGAACTCTAAACTAAAGAGTTTTCACACTCAAGTCCTTGTCCGCAATTGTACAGTGCCTCTACATTCCTAGAGAGAATGATTGGTGGCCCCAGGGATCTTATCTACTGCTGGCTCTCAAGCCCACCAGGAGCCTCCCTTTCATCCGTGTGTGTGAAGCGTGGCTCGGTCAGCTCCGATCAGGGGCTCAGGGTCTCTTTTATGTGTGTGGGGAATGCGCAGACCCTTGGCTTTATCAGCGGCCCCTTCCCTCTCCCCTAACTCTCCTTCTTTAAGTCCCGCTCTTTGTTCTGCCTACAGATGCTGTGAAGCAGCACTGCCCTCCCCACCCGGCCTACTCAATTACTGTCAACCACTGGCATGCCTTTACTGCACTGCCAAAAAAGCTACTCCACAAAGACAGACAGACAGAGAGAGAGAGAGAGGGAGGCTGGATGCTGATGGGCAGAGGGTTTGCCGGCAGTCTAATATAGTGAGATCAGAGGGAAAAAGAAAAGGGAGGAAGGGATAAGGATGAATAGATGTAGATCCACAACCTCCTCTCATTGAATGTTGGAAAGCATATGTTGAGAATGTTTTCGGTCTATGTTTTTCAGTATAACTCCCACTCCTCTGGGTGAGGGGAAGAGTACAGTGACCATAGGTCTTGTCCAGGCCCTCTCTGCTCATCTCAAGCTGAACTCCTTCGCTTGTCTGCGACAGCCCTCCCAGGGCCCAACGTTTGGAGTTAAAGGTGTGTTTTTGTCTGTTTGCTTTACATTAGTTTGATATTTTAGTGTATGGATAACAACTAACAGCAATTTAAGGAATCATAGGGCACTTCCCGAAGGTTGTACCAAAATGTAGACATCAGAATTAAGCAACCTTCTAAGATAACGTGGCATCACATGTCCTTTGTATATTTTCAAATGAGTCACTTATTAGGCAGTACACAGCAAGGCAGCTCGCAAGGTCTTGGATCAGAGCTAATGTCTGGCTATCTTGTTTTCTTTGCGGTGTGTTTGTCAGTCTGCTTCATTATTTTTTCTCCCTGCAGGAGGAGCGGCAGGCGGGGGATACGCACAGGTCATTCCTATGGAGGAGGTGAGTGACAACAGACATCCTGTCTCCCGCTATCACAAAGCCCTTTCCCTTAGTATGCCACAACTGATGAAAGACCTTGAAGAACTCACACAGACATTGAGAATAAATAAAAAGAAATCTCTAGTGGTTTCAGACTTTTGGATTATGCGCTTTCTTTTGTTTTGTGCTTTTATAGTTGATAATCTTTTATTACAAGTCAATATCAGCAATTCCATTCAATTTGAATGGAAAGTTTAAATGGAAAAATAAAAACATAATTAAGAATTTCTTCTTAAAATATCCACATTTTGCTTTTAATGACTCATTTTTCAAAATAGTTCGACTTTTATGTCTAGTTTAGATTTTCAATTTGATCTTGAGCAACATTAAATGTGAATGTGTGTTTATCAGAAGCTCCAGAGAGTTGCTTCCTATCTCTCACTTTCTCTGTTTCTCTCAGTTTAATCTCCACCTTACAGGAGACATCCACGCTATTACTGCAGCCAATAATCTTGTGGCGGCAGCTATTGATGCCCGCATTCTCCATGAAGCTACCCAATCTGACAAGGTAAACAATCATAATGTACAGGTATTTGTGATTGGTCACAACATAGAATCTCAGGGATACAGTCCTGTTTGAAGTCAATAGTTAGTTCAATAGCAGTGTAATTAAAGGGGATTGTTTCTGCTTCTATACTATTCTGCCTCTTTTTTTTTACTTCCTTAAGCTATTTTTTTGTCTTATAGGCCCTGTACAGCAGACTAGTGCCGTCAGTTAATAGCGTGAGACGCTTCTCTCCTATACAGCTGGCTCGCCTGCAGGTGAGTCTGAAAGAGATCTTTGTACCTCTGACTTTTTAAACTTTGTACTTCATAATGCCCTCATCATTTGACACAAAAGTCACTAGAGCAGTGGATTTCAATTAGTGGGATGGGAGCTTCAGTAAACCTCCAAGGGGACTCTAAATTACTTAAAATGATGTAAAATAAGACAAAACAAGCATTAAAAGAAACTAAAGTTATTAAAATTTATATTTATTTCTTAATTTAGTTCATCCCCTCAATTATCATTATTTTTCATATTTATTGAGGAATCAGGCTTTCTGTAATCTTTGATACATTGGGCATCTAATTTTAAATGTCTTTATAAAAACAATTTATATCTGGCAAAGTCATGTATATTAATAAAACCTGTGGACATTTTTCAAATTATGATACTTTTTTCTAGTTATGCCAAGCAAAACATTCTATCAGGTTGAAACTGAAAAAATAAATTAATTTGTTTTTAGTTCTTAACCAGTAAATAGGAACTCTGTAAATGCAGTACATCTTGTAACCAACAGGGGCCCTCATATAGCCACTGCGAAACTAGCTATTTCTTTCTTACGAGGCTATAATTCACAGGAAGTGTCATCCTACACAAGTTTCAGTGTTTTTCTCTTTGTTTAAGTATTGTGTTATATTGACTGTGACACAGATAAGCTGAGAGACGTCATTAAACACAAACTGTTCATGTTTGCTCAGTGACAAGATTGGGTTGACTTAAATCTGGAAAGGCAAAGCTGGTAAATTTATGAGAGAGACAACCAACGTCTCTGAGAGAAATCAAATTAAAAAGATGGTCTGAAAGAAATTTATGATGACCACACAATTTCCTCAATTTCTGAGTCAAGGCCAACACTTAGAGCAGTAATAAAAATGTTTCAATAGTAGGTTTGTTTTATGTGAATGAAACAGTTTTTTCATCATGGTAATCAGCACACTTGTGTCTGTCTTTTCCTCTCTGTTGTGTTTAAGCGTCTTGGAATAAACAAATCTGACCCCAGTGACCTCACACCGCAAGAGGTCAGCGCATTTGTTCGTCTTGACCTTGACCCTGAGAAAATCACATGGCAGCGAGGTAGGATCTTGTGCAATGTGGATTGCTTCACTGTTCTTCACATGGTATGTACTTACGAGAATCCCCCGATGCTTGATGGGGTCACGGAAAGATTTAGAGATTGTGGTGCAGGAAATATGATACGGTACACAGACACAGTCAGTGAGCTGAAGCAAGCAGTATGACACAATATTTGGCCATCGGCTACATTTGACTGATTTAATACTACTTTCGGATATCGGATATTTCGGATAAACTATCGAATAGTGGAACGCGAGTTTTTGAGAACTAGTCCCTTCTTGAACACATGTAGTTCCAGGTCTACTCTTCGCACCTGGGAGGGATGCCAAATGTAGACCTGCGTCCGTTTATGACGCATTGGCCTTTGATAGCTGCGATCACTGGGGGATGAGATTCAGCTGGATTGGGGTGTTTCCCATTTCACTCGTGGCCACCTGGGAACATCTGCTGCCTTTAGCCTACATTCAGAAGATAGTGCTGCAATGACTGATGGGATATTTATTCTGTTGGTTCAAAAGTGCACACTAAGATGAGGGGCCTGGAAGATTAAGAACAGCTTTACATCTCTCTCCCGCTGCGAATGCAAAACTGTCTGTGTTTGAGAAGATCCTCACAACTTTCTCTGTGACATTCATAAATGTACTGTAATGCTTAAACCGTTAGAGTTTCCCATGTTCATTATAGGAAGATATCACAGTGAATAATTATGATGATTATAATGTTCAGATAAAATGTTTTCGGTGTGCCATATGTTATGTACACTGTTCTCACAGATGGATGAATTCAAACTGATACACAAGAGGAATATGGGAGACAGCCAGAAAGCAGTCTTAACCACTTTTGTCATTTTTGTTGCCCATGACATGTTTAAATTGAGGCTTATAATAATTGTTTGCATTTCTATGAGAAAATACCAGAGGGTTTGAATTCTTTCCCCTCCATCTTCCTGGCCCTTTGGGAGTTGTGTTTGTCTCATACTGCCCCCTCCTACATTTAGCTTGGCTACAAGAAAAAAAAAAAAAAAAAAAATTCAAAAAGTCTTTAAGGAATGTATGCTTATTGCAAGGTTATGGTTTTGCTTGGCGTCCATCCCTCTGGGTCTCTTTAGGTCTTTCTTTTTTTGCAATTCATTAGATTCTCATACATCTCCTCTGCAGTGACTGCCAGATCTGAAAAAATCTGTCCAGCTTGCAACACTTAATGTCCAACTGAGTTCCCTTATGACACGATTCTCTCTGGCTGTTGTCTTCAGATACAACTCTGCTACCTTGAGCAGGTAGAAAGAATGTGAAGTTATTGCAAACTGATAAACAATATTGTATTTGTAAAAAAAAATCTTGAAATATTGTAATTGAAATGTAACAAAGTAAGTTGTGGGAAGGACGAGGCGGAAAATGTTGACCGTTCACAAACTTTACTTATTATATTATATATTAAGGGCAGCAGCCCCTCATGGACGACTGCCACACACACACAAAGAAACAAAACAACATACTGTAAAGGTCCAGGCCTGGTCCTCTCTCGAACTTCACTGTTGTCGTTCCTCCTTTTCTGCTTCCAAAGCTCCTCTGTGAGAGAAGCGAGACCGGTGTAGCACTCTCAGCCTTGTCTTGCTTGCCACACAATAGATTTAAAATGCTTAGTTTTTATCATGAATAGAATAGAAGTTAGAACATCCATTATGGCTGTTCTTTGCACACTGCCTGGTTAATGAACACTTCTTTCTTTTCAGTCAGGCATTTTTGGTTAATAGCTTGTTTTCACGTGACGTCACGCCACTGCGTTGCCATGGCGCGAAATGCAGATGGAGGGCAGGAAGTGATTTTCTATATTTAGGAAGCACTATAACACACTCAAAATGTCTATGTTTTGCGTCGTTTATGGTTGCTCAAATCGATCAAACCATGAGGAGTTTTTATCGTGTGCCAAAAGTTGTTGTTCATAAGGGGGGAAAATACAAGAAATTGACAGAAAAACACCGGGAAAAATGCCTTGCAAACCTACGTCTGCGTTCAGGAGGAGCCGAATGGGAAAATGCCTGTGTGTGTTTGTGTGTGCAGTGATCACTTCGTCAAATGTGAGTTAATACCTGAATAATGTAATTATAAGCCAAATAATGTGTTTAAATACACTTATGTGGCTGTTTGTGTAACGTGCCAGTTTCCGAACTTTGTAAAGTCAAAGTATCTGTAAGACGAGTTAGTTGCTGATATCTACAGTCTCGATGGCAGGCAAATCTCTCAATTCAGTTGAAAATCGGTCCTCTTCATAACGTAAGGATCACGTCCAACAAATGTTTCGATTTTCTGTTTATATCTTTCTCTTGTAATAGCGTCTAAAGTAGTACAGTACGGATTTTCCTCCATCTCGTCCATTGTGCTCTTCACTCCTTGCCCTCCATCTGCATTCCGCGCGTCAACACAATCACGTGACTGCAAACCACCTATTTGATAATTTGATTTTGGTTTTAAAAAAAAAATGGTAAAACAAAGTCTATTTGTCTGGAGGACAAGGAGGGACCCTTACAAATAAAATCAAAGCATAAGTAACCCAACAAGTGAACTGTCCAATAGCAACTCGATTGACAAATAAATAAAGAAAAGCATTTGACATATCGACATAGAATAGAAATATGCTTTATTCATTTACTAAAATAGAGACAATTAAATATATGGGTTTTAAATGTCTTAATTTGTCAATTCAAAATGTTTAAATACATTTAGAGAGGAATAAGTTATCAATTAATTAAAGTGTCACTCCTTGTCCTCTGTATATTTAAGGTGAAGATAATCAGTAAAGGGTGACAAGTCATGCTGCTTCAGGCAACTTGGACTATAGTGCACCGGTCATGTTGATTTACTTTTTTTAGTGCTTTTACAGTATGTCGTTTTTGAACCATGAAAGTTTCGGTCCCATTCAACTGCATGGAAATGTGTGACTAGTACATCCTTAATTATTCATATAGGGTTGGAGCTTTCCTGTTGCTCAAACAGTCAAGCATTGGCGCTTACAACGCCAAGGTCATGGGTTCCATTCCCAGGGATGGCAAGAACCGATAAGAATGTAAATGTGTACCTTGAGATTGGATAAAAGCGTCTGCTAAATGTAAATGTAAAATGAAATGTCACGAGGATGAGTAAATGAGCACACTATTTTTGGTAGAGCTATTCTAAGGTATAAAATCAGGCTTTTGTTTTCTTTTTATTCTTCATTCTGATTTCAAATTGTGTTTTCCTGTTTCCAACAGTCGTTGATACCAATGACCGATTTCTGCGCAAGATCACTGTTGGCCAGTCCAACACAGAAAAAGGTCATGCTCGCCAGGTATGTGCTTCTTCTGATTCAATATACCAACCGTTAAAGGTAATGCATGATAGTTTTGTCACTTTTCCTCAATGATTATGTGCCTCCCACAGCTCTACATCTCTTTCTCTATCCCTCTTTCTCTTTTATGTGTATTTCCCTTAACTGGAATAAAAGTCCTGCAGTATGTCAACTGCTGTCAGAAATAATTACTTTTAAACCAAATCAGGCAGATAACAGCATGCTTCTCAATGGGACACAGTCTAAGTAAAAGCAAATGTTTGAAAAAAGGTGTTATTGTGCGCATTGCAAACCCTCTGAGCTGGCCAAGCATTTGCTTACATTCGTCTCCCTCCCACTGTACCAAAACCACTAAAATGTGCACTACAGCACAGCACTTTTGTTCTTGAGAGACATACAGTACAGAACACTATATGAGTTTTGGACAGTGAGCAAGTGTGTGTGTGTATTGTATGTTTGAAAGAGAAAACTAATTCACTTACCTCAAGCTTTGCAAACATTGACTCAGATCACCTCAGCTATTAGGGTGCTGTTAATGGACTTAAATGGCAAGTAATGATGACACAAGTGGTGTGTTAAGCGGCCCGTCTCTCTTGATAAGGCATCTGGCCACCACTCCTCTACTCCCAGCTGTTTTATTGGGAGAGTATTTATTAGCTGAGAGTTAAACCAGGACGGCTCTGCTTCAGTCCAGCTGGGGTTGTCTTGGACACATGTGGGAGCAGTTTACTGTATTGTGATAAAGAACCAGACATGGCAGATGTTGCGTGTGTGTGTGTGTGTCTGAGTCTGACAAATCTCTCCACTGTCTTTATTGCTGATTTGGATGGAAATAGTCCTAAATCATTATTGTGATGTGTTTGTGTGTTGGTCAGTATGTGAACTTTCCTCCTCTCATTCTTACAGACCCAGTTTGATATTGCGGTGGCCAGTGAGATCATGGCTATCCTTGCTCTGACAGATGGATTGGCTGACATGCGGGCCAGACTGGGGCGTATGGTTGTGGGCAGCAGCAGAAATGGCCAGCCAATCACTGCAGATGACTTGGTGTGTGTGTGAGAGCGAACTTGAGCAGTGCTGTCTTGCTCATTTTATGAAAAAAAAGACAGTGTATATATAATTGTTAAATGTGTATAAAGTGTATTTAAACTTCTCTTTCCTGTTTTATTCCTGTTTTTTTCAGCAACTGGCAAATATTTTGACACTGCTTTGCTCTTTGGTTCTCTCAGGGTGTAACCGGGGCTTTGGCAGTCCTCATGAAAGATGCTATCAAACCTACACTGATGCAGACACTGGAGGTGAGACCTCTTCCCTGTTCCTGTACCCCAAACTCTCAGTATCTTTTACACAGTCACTCGCTTGGTTGCTGTTTTTCTTTTTCTGTCTCCCTCACACATGCACACATAACTGTTCTATCTTGATGGAAACTCCCAAACTTGATACTCTCAGCGTTGGTGAAGTGATAGGATATTAGATGCTTGACACAGAAAACACACACTCCTACAGTAACACGTGCACATCTGGTTTTAGTTTTGGCTCAGTGGGAGTGTGTCTCTGTCTTTGACTATCAAACCCTGAACACTATGAGAAAACTGGAAATGAGAAATAGACAGTGGTGAAAAGCCTGATTGTTGGAATGCCTTTCATCTTTATGGCTTTTAAACATGCTAGTAATGACTAGTGATTGATGTTTGGTGTGTTTTTGTGTGTGACATGGATAAGAGTTGCATGTTTGTAGAGAGAGCCACAGAACTGCTTTGTGAAACCTTTCCTGCCATGGTTTCCTGTTTCTTCTGTGAAGAGGAATCATATCAGAACAAACCAGGCTGTAAAGGGTTGTGGGAATATTACACTGGGCGATAATGTCCCTGATGGGATTGGGATGTATGCAAGTATGTGTGTGAACGAGTGAGAGGAAGTGTGTGAATGCTTGAAAGATATGCATGTGTCCACAGATGGAATGAACTAATCCTGTTTGATTGACAGTAGACACAAGATGTGAGATGTGTTGAGAGTGTCTGGAGAAAATGTGTCTCTGATTGATTGATGTTAACTTATTTTGTGTGTCTGCGATGTTAGCTGTAGGTTCGGGACAAAACTGTCCCCAGCTAAATCTTATAACTTCCCTTTGGGGACATTAAAAAATTATTCTTTTATGGGTAGTTTAGATTTGTTTGGCCAAGTAAACCATTTGTTTGTGTGATGCTTAGAGAAACACCAGTCTATTATATACACGAATACTTTTATTCAGAAATAAGGCAGCATTAAATTAATCAAAAGTGACCGTAAAATGATTTAAATTTCTATTTTAAAAGCTAATATTTTGAACTTCATCTCAGAATACTTAAATTTGTCATGATCTCAGCAAAAAAAAAAAAAAAAAAAAAAAAGAATTTCAATTTGTAGCTATTAGTTAAAGGTGTACTTCAAGATTTAGCATTTAGCTAAGTCATTTAGAGTCATACTGTATTAAGTCGTAACCAACCTGTTCCTGCCTTCTGTGCTCTTTCTTGCCTAGTTTTTCCTGTTTTTTAACTTTCCTGGCTTGGCATACCAAATCCCTCCTCTTTTCCACACATTTGCAGGACAAAGAGCTCCAATCTTTCCCTTTCCAGTTTTTTGATATTGTAGTTTTTTGTTTTGTTTTGTTCTTTGTAGCAAAACTTTTCCAGAGGACAGTTCACTGGAAAACCATACTCTTTCCATCACTCATTCTTTCACTTTGACTTGTTGACAAGCTGCCACTGATGTACACTTTCTGGGCAAACTTGTTGCAGTAAATTGATTTGTTGAATTGTTTTGCAGATGGAAACATGTTACTGGTTGACCTTTGTCAGTACTGATTGATGTTTTAAACTTGTGTAAATCGTTTAGGTTATAATGAGCTACACATTGTCAAAATCTACCTATAGTTGATGTTTATCACATTTCATCAATTTTATATGAGGGTTCAGGTAGTGCATGACTAAAAAGTACTGTGGATGCACACGGCACGGCACTTTATCCTTTTGTCCAAAAACAACAACTTGAAATAAAACTGTGATAGTAGAAAATGTTTACTACAAACCTACAAACTAAATAAGAAAACTTTTTGTGCCCTGCGGTTTCTGAAAATGCTTTTTGATAATGAATCAAGTAAATAATTTTTTTTTTTTTTTTTACAAAGGTATTAAAGTGAACTGAATCAATTTGATGAATCGTCTCAGGGCTCTGGATGGCTTGTGTTACTAAATAATTTCATGTCTTAAAACATGCTTCACTTTCCTCACTTGACCATCTTTTGGCTCTTTGAGTCTTAAAAGGTGATGTGCTGATGTAGAATGTTTTGTAATGCTTATGTCAGCACCTGCAGAACTAGTGAAAGGAGGATGCCATAATGCAGAGATAAAAGTTTATGTAAATAAAAGAAGGTTGTCTCTGTTGATGGCAATCTTTTTTTCTTCTCTTTTCAACCTTCCATCCTTTTCCTGAATTTAGATGACTTCACCATCACTCCATTCTTTGTTTTATATGTACTCCCTTTCCATCTTCCTGCACTCTCCTTCCTGTCCCTTCAGTTGTCAGTGTATGTGGTGTTGCTTTTCAGTGTTAGGGAAGTTACAGAGGACCTCAGGGTCACCAGTTCAAACCCCACATTTTCACTGGGCTTTAAATGCTTTCTGGCTGCTGATGATGGGGATGATGAAACAGACTTTCACTGTTTAAAGTTTACTTGAGTTGAAGATCAGATGGAGCTAACATACAAGCTCCACCACATGTCTTTTATTTAAAAAACCAAAAAAAAACCAAAAAAAAAACCTCAGATGTGGAGATTGACCACTTAAACATTTTAGCTTGTATTGTCATTTACCAGCTTTTAACATGGCAATTTCTTCTGTAATTTTCAGGTAATTTTGATTCACAGTGTCAGTCATTTGTAATGCATTTCTGGCTTGGTATGCACTGATATTGTTTGTCTTTGTCATGTCAGGGCACTCCGGTGTTTGTGCATGCTGGACCATTTGCTAACATCGCCCATGGAAACTCCTCTATCTTGGCAGACAAGCTGGCTCTTAAACTAGTTGGAGAAGAAGGCTATGTTGGTGGGTGAACACACAAACACATTCAGTCGCACACCACTGCTTTTGCTTTTTGTAGTCTTATGCTTTTATTGACTAGAGACAAAGGCTATGCTGGGGGTAAGTTAAAGCAACAACAGTAGAGTGGTTTTCTGGTTCAAATCAGACTCCTGCTCAGGAGTGGTCGCACATGCTTATTGGCCTCTACAGTTTGAATAAAATCACAAGATCTGGTGTTGTGCAAAAAATCACCCTACAGAATCCTATCACCCCTAACAACCAACAATTTATAATGTAAATAATATATTACATGATGTATAGTAGTGTATGTGTAATTAAAACATTTTAATATATAAAACATTACGGTTTAAAAGTTTGTTAGTAATTTTTTGACCAATCTCTTATGCTCACCAAGACTGCATTTATGATCAAATTGATCGTTATCATTATATTGATCAAAAATGTAAGTAAAACTGTAATATTATTGCAATTTAATATATTTGTTTTCTGTTTATATTTTATTCCTGTGATGGACAAGCACAATTTTCAACAGTCATTACTCCAGTCTTTTGTTTCACATGATCCTTTAGAATTCATTTTAATATGCTGATTTGATGCCATAGAAACATTTCTTCTTATTGTTATTATTATCAATGTTGAATTAACAGTTTTGTGAAAACTGTCATACTTTTTTACAGGAATCTTTGAATAGGAAGTTCAAAAGAACAGCATTTTTTTGAAACATTAGAACATACTTTTGTAACATTAGAAATGTTTTTACTCTCACTTTTGATCAATTTAATGCATGTTTACTGATATAAAGTTTTAATTCCCTCAAAGTTCCTTAACGCAAAAATTGTAATGGTAGTATATAATTTTTTTAGCACTTTGTATTAGAATATTTTAAAGGCTTAAAGGTATAGCGGAGGATCTTTCCGAATTTTAGAGAAGACCCGCCCTCTCCAATTTTTTTTAAAAAAATGCACATGCACAAACACAACACTCTTGCTCCCGAGAGCTAGGGAACGTCATTGAACGCCTTGCACAATTATGTTGCAAATTCTAAACTAACTAAAAAAAATTCATAAAAAAGACAACATGTCAAATGCCCTTCCGTGTTTTATTTACTTATTATACTGATCGATTGAGTGACCGAGGACTCAAGACATGATATGTGCAACCCTGTATCACACGAAATACGTTCTGAGGAAACTATTTTGCAAATCGCAATTACGTTACATAGCAACATATAAGCAGTGCTATTACGTTGGTCCTTAACCTAATATCTCTCATTGTTAATACGTTATTTTTATACATAGTTGCATATGGAGAAGTAGCTTGTTGCATTTGTGTAATAATAAACACACAAGATTTTAGAATATTTCAGCGTGATACCATTTACCATTTTGGACAAAAGGCTACTTTAGACAAATTGAGATGTTTACCGTGTCTATGCGGTGCATGACTCGTGCCAGGGCTAGCATTGTAGCTTGCATTAACTTTTACTAGTGATTTTAAATGGATTTCTCCAAATAGCGTGACAAACTTTACCTGTCTGGTAGAATCTTCGCGACTGCGGCATCAGTGAGAAGCCCAACCTGTGCTTTTAGCGCACGCCAGCGTGTGATATTCACCCAAAATCTCTCTGGTCTTGTTTCTATATTCTGCGGCCTTTCTCTTCTTATCATACACTTAGTAAACATTTTTTCTCTTTCGACCCTCAGCCATTTTCAAAGGAATGGCTGAAACCGTAACTCCGACATAATACACATGAAAGTGAAAACTACATAGGGATGAGCACGTAGCCTATGACGGCCTTACGTAAACATATCACCAGAATGATTGACACTTAGGTGGACCAATAGTATAGACTACCCACCCGGAAAAAGAAAATCCTCCGCTATACCTTTAATGGCTAGTTAGTTAATGTTGCTAAGTGAGTGACTCAATGTCTAAGTGAGCAATTGGCTAGTGGCATGTCTTGCTGTTATGCTAAACCGTGGAAAAACAAGAAAGGTTTAATTTAACAAATGTATAGCTAATATAATATGACCATTTAAATTGCATTAATTGACCATCTTTACGAAGTTATCATGACGATAATTAATAAAATAATTTTCTACAAGTATATAGAATTTGGCACAACACTGAATCCTTTATCTTAAAACCCAGAAGAATGTTTATATTTGTTTTTTTTTAAAGCTAAATCCAACTAATCCTCTCAGTGTCGGCACACCTGAACATACAGGCCTGTGAAACACACACACACACACACACACACACACACACACCGTCACTTTATCACTTCCTCTCTCCATTTCTCTCTCATTCCTTTGCTCCTCTCTATCCTTTTTATTCTCTATCCCTCCCTCCCCTGCTCAACGACATGCCCCAGACACTAAAAGAATGCTGGGAATGGCGGAGGCCCTGTGGTCCACGCTAAGAGCAGTGTAAGCTTCACCCCTTCATTTAAGGACAAGCTGAAGTGTGTGAGCCCAATGAAAACACTGCCTACTAAACTGGCCAAGAGCTGTGTTGAGTTACAGCCTCTGGAATTTGAGATACTTTTTCTGCCAGCGTGTAAATAGTAAATTCTTTTGAAAGAGGACTTTTAGGGCTACACGATTATTTGAAACACAGAAATCGAAATTGCGAATATTGCTTAGTGTGATGATCAAATAGCAAAGGCTGTGATTTAATTAATTAAATATATGGGCTGTGTGTTTCAGAGTGAAGCATGGCACTGGCACCGTGTTATTACATGCATACGGGGTTTTCAGTATCTCAGAGCAGCTTGGTTCACATTAAATGCTGCTCCACTCCATCTCTGCTTCTGAATTTAGGTTACTTATAACATGCATTTGGGAACACAGCATTCGGCAAAAAACTTCTCTATCTTGTAATGAGAACGAGAAGCATTTATAAACTGCCTGTTGACAAAAAAGAGAAGCTTAGGGGCTCCCTGCTGTTTTCTTTACAATTATAAGTTTGATAGTTTAATGTTTGAAAATGAAGAAATTAAGACAATTGTGATCAGTATTAGCACTGTAATTTTGCCGTTGTACAGTAAAATAACTTTTTATTTTTATTTTTTTTTTGAAAAATCACAATTAGAACACCAAACAAACCATGCAGCGCTAGTTGTTTTATAGAGCCCCAACCCCCAGAGGACAGTAGGAAAATGAATCGTTTGATTTACTGTATTGCAAAAGACAAGAATCTAGAACCTCTCTCGTTTGTTACATTCAAAGAAGTCCATATTGGACTTGGAGCGTCAGCATCAACAAACAGCAGGAATGCCGGGAGTTTGTTGACTTTTGCAAAATGTTAGTGAAGGAGGGGGACGTGTGTATGCGTTACCTGAAGCCAAGGTATGTGTGGTATGTAGTGTTTTTGCTGTGGGTGAGAGGGAGGACGCTGCTTCTATCAGCTGATTATACACAACAGATCTGCTTCACTGTTTTTTTTATTGTTTTGTTTTTTTGTTTTTCTGAGCACTTCGGTTGTTTTCCTGACTGGCATGGTAGTAACCTTTAGTCTACCCAAACTAAACTGATTGCGCTCAGACTGATAGATGTGCTGATAATTCCTTATTCTCTGAAAGTTCCTGAAGACCGATAACATACTCCCACCTAACATTCTCTGTTAGACCCGAGGTGGCTGTAAATCTGTGCATGACTGTTGTGTGGATGACCTGGGGATGTACTGTTTATAGGGAGCATCATAAAGGAGGTGGTTTACTTTCTTATATCACCTGGTCTTCCCAAGGTCATGAGCGCAGTCTGCAGGATAACGCTCTGATTCCATGATTTCTTTTTTGGCTAAAATGTCCTCCCTTTTCTCTCTTTGTCCTCCAATGGTCTAAATCTCAAACTGGACATCACAAAGATAGCTGTATACACACACACATACACACACACATGCATGCAGAGCTTCAGAAAATATGCCAGACCCCTCTGGTGGAAATAACAACATTACCCTTCCCATTCCCTCCTGCCCCAAAGGCCTGGGAAGTAGCACAGGAAGCTTGCAGAGTTCTGGGAAAAATGGATGCATGGAAAGACTCCACAGATGCTTACTGTTCATTGGCACATACACGCATTAATACTGACCTGTTCAAACCCAAACAGTAGATGTCTCTCACACACAAAACAAACAAAAGTGGTTTGCAGGGGGAAGGAAAATGGCTGAAATCATCTTGTCTAAACAGTTTGTGATGCTCATGTGTTGTACACCATTTCCAGCCTTGATCACTCACTCATGATGGCAGTAACACATGTGGAGCACTTACATTCTCACTCTTAAAATGGTTTTAATTAAACCCTTATTATAATGATTGGCAATAACTCTTCCTGGAATGTGGGGACAATTATATTATTACGTAAGTGTAGGTTGCTTTCATTTTATGTGTGAGTTGTCTTGTGGTCTTATCTGGCTCTGTGCCGTAATAAAGTGTTAATGCAGAATGTTTGTTAACATCAATATCTAGCACAACAGAGCAGTTTTTATATCAATGTCTTATTTATGAAGACTTATCATATCAATATTGTTTCATTTCCTGCTTCTTTACTGCTCAGTGACGGAGGCTGGCTTTGGTGCAGACATTGGCATGGAAAAGTTCTTCAACATTAAGTGTCGGACGTCTGGGCTGAGGCCTGATGTTGTGGTACTGGTTTCAACTGTACGAGCTCTGAAGATGCATGGAGGTGGACCAAATGTAAGTTTGTGTGCACATTCACATGTCCCTTCATATGCATGACTGCATTAAAAATACATTTGATATTTACAATTGTCTCTATATACTGTATATTTTTAAAGGTCACAGCTGGTGTACCACTGCCTAAAGAATATATTACTGAGGTAAGTTTATTTCCCAATCTTGCTTAAAATTATTATATTTGTAAGGCTAATTTTAGGAAGAACCAGATGTTTTGAACTCTTTTTTTTCTTTAACACAACTTATTTACTATCGTACTCCCACAATAAGTGGCGATATTGCTCCCCAAAGGCAGGATGAAAATAAAGAGGGTTGAAGTAAATGAATGAGGGTTTGCCCCACCTCGTTTGAGCAAAGGCCCAGAGCACATCTCCTTCACCCTCTCCAGCTTCCCTCTTCCTCCCTAATGTGGTTTGTGTTATTTAATTAACAGGGTAAATACAATCTGTGTTGTTGAAGCTAGAGACACAGAGGTGAAATGGGAGTTGTAGTCTAAGAAATGCCATACCTGCTTTTCATCAGTCTCTCTAAAGCAACCCTGCTGAGAAAATAACCCAAGTGCTTAAGCTAATTGTGTGGTTCTATAATGAAAAACAGAAAGCACCAAAGCATGTCTCCTAAGCCTGAGACTGGTTCTGCTCCATCAATTGAGCAACAATTGAGCTTAAAAAAAGAGCCGTAAGTTTCCCCTCAAAAAAGCTAAGCCGTTTGGATGACGTTCTCTAACTGACTCATCCTTTCATGAAGATGCTGATAGATCATCAGATCCAACTAAGATTTTAATGCTTTCCAATTTTGTCTATTTCATTTCTATAAAATGCACTTATTTTAAATCTTGTGAATTAAATTGTAGTTATAATTAAGTACAGACATTTAGACTACTTCATTTTGTTTTCTATTTAACAAATGTATTGTCTGTTTACTTTTTTTAATCAGAACTTGCAGCTGGTTGCAGATGGCTGCAGTAACTTAAAAAAGCAGATTCAGATCACTCGCCTCTTTGGAGTCCCGGTGGTTGTTGCTCTGAATGTCTTCAAGTAAGGATTGGTCCATTTTACAAAAACTCCAGCATGCAATTTCTTCCTAAAACGTGATGTTTAAAAAATATGGTGCATTAAATCATTAGAAAACAGCCATGGCTGACGCAAACCAGAGTACCAATAGTTAAACAAAGTGCTCTGATCCAAAACAGCGACAGACAGTGTCCTAATTTAGCCCTTTTGCACTTAAACGTGTCTTTCCAGTATGTCTGGAAGCCCACACTTTTTGATATGCCCTGTGCCATTTTGATTTTCCTTGTCGGATCCCATGACATCTTGCTTTCTTTGAAGGACTGACACTCAAGCAGAGATCGACTTGGTGTGTCGCATCGCAGAGGCTTCTGGGGCATCAGCTGCTGTTCCGTGTCATCATTGGTCCAGAGGTGGGCGCGGCTCTGTGGAGCTGGCACATGCTGTGAAGGAAGTTGCATCTCAGGAGAACTGTTTTCAATTCTTGTACAATCTGCAGGTGGGGCCAGTTATAACATTAATAAAATATTAATTAGTAAAACCGAATCCCCTCAAAGACAGAGCAAATTGATTCTGATGGGTGGTTTAAATATGATCGTATCTAAAGAAGTGTCTTGTACGATTTGCGGGTTGGTGCTTTCTGAGTGCTGTAAAGCCATCAGCTGGTTTGAGTTAACCTTTTTGAGTTTGGAGGTTGTGACTGATTAAGTGATGCTATGAAAGGCACGGTAATCTCTTCTCTTGGCTCTGGCTGCCCTCTATTATCCTATTAGAGGTCTTGGCGCTTGCTATCCCAATCATCTACATGGAGAACTGACTGGGGGGATTTTTGACCACCAGATAGGCAGAAGCTACATTTTAGAGCTGATAATTTAAAAAAAAAAGAATCATTTCAAACTGCAATACTTTTTATCTCCCTCACACTCCTGCTTTTTTACTCCCTTGATCTGTTGTAAATGTTATGGTATTTTTATTTTTACAGGATCCTATTGTAGAGAAAATTCGGACAATTGCACAAAAGGTTTATGGTGCTGATGACATTGAGCTTTCACCTGAGGCTCAAGCTAAAATAGACTACTACAATCAACAGGTGAGAAGAGCTGTACATTGCTATTTGACTTTACAAATGCACAAACAGTTTTCATATTTGAGCTTGTTTTTTTATAAATATTTTCAGACTTTTAATATTCAATATTTATCTTAATTTTATATATTTTTAATTATATGCATCAATATAACAGTACACAGTTAAAAACTACAATATATATATATATATTCTTTGTATACACAGTTTTGAATGCATATATTGCAACTGCTGATTCAGTTTACTAACTCTTTGCTACAAGGACAAGGATGTCTAATGATAAAAAAATTGAAAATTTGTTTAAAGTTTTCACAATTTGTCTTGCATCATCTGATGTTTTATATTGTTTGCAAATATGTTTCTTGTGGTGTGTGCTCATTGATATTAAATGGTTAGATAATCTTGGCCCAATGGGTGAATCTCTTAACATAACGGATGTCAAGAGCCTAGAGCTGATGTTGTGCTTATCTTATGTGGGTATTAACTGTCTGTAAATTTCTCACAGGGTTTTGGTGCTCTTCCTATCTGCATGGCCAAGACCCACCTGTCTCTCTCTCACATGCCTGAGAAAAAAGGTGTTCCTACCGGTTTTATCCTGCCCATCAGAGACGTCCGTGCCAGCATTGGGGCAGGGTTTATCTACCCCTTAGTTGGAACTGTAAGTGATTATCCTTGAAATCTGATGGAAAATCTTGTTCTTTTTTTTCATTCTGTCTGCATGTCTACGCTTTAAAGAGCCTATTGCAGGTAAAAAAATCTTAATTTATAGGTAACCTTGTATGAAAATAACATATTAACAGTTAATGCAGGATTTAAAATGTTTTAAAACAACATGAGGGCACTAATTTAGTAGATAAAATGAGCGTTTCCTGGACTGCTCGTAAAAACGGCTTTTTTTTCAACATAGCGCCATTTGACGTCATGTTAGGTAGCCTCGGCTCAGTGCAGAGAAGGGTGGTATTCAGTGAGAGCGGTCGTCAGTCAGTGTGCTTTCAGTAGTTTTTGTATTTGTCATCATCATGGTAAATTATTGTGTTTGTGGAGGTTGCAAAAACTCCAGCCTGTCAGGACTTCAAGATCGAGTCCACAAGTTTCCATTACAAGAAAAGGGACGGTGCTATAGCCTATCTTTCGTTCCTGGTGCGGTTTGTGCAGGTGAAAAGACTGGATTTCTATTCCGCTTCGGAAAATGCGGTCGTGTGTAGCGTTCACTTCAGATCAAATGATTATCATCCCGGCGATATGATGGAGTTCATCATGGGATGCCGAAGCAAGAATATTGATCATCGTATACTATACCAATGGCATCAAATAGTGTGATATAGGGAACTTAGTCATGCCCTAAATAGAGGCAACTTGTAATTGAAAAACAAAATTGGTTGTTTAAATACTCAAATCTTTAATTTTCTGTTTATGTTATAACCCAGGTGAAAAAATATGTATTAAAAATGTACCTGTATGCTTTTAGTACAATAGAAATATACTCGAGTATAGTTTTTATACATTTAATTGTATAAATCTACCCTAAACATACTAATGTCTGCTGGCCTGTTATAGGATCATAATAATCTGTACAAGATTTTTACAAGTATTTAAAAGTACATTTTAAAGAAAATCTAGTTCCTACATTATTTTTCTATGCATTGACTCGTTGGGTCCTCTAAACTGCAATATGCCCTTTAAATCTTTTGATGCCATCCAATACCTCTTCATATTATGTTGTTTTATTACTTCCTTTGCTGGTAAGTAACTGGGTGTTTCAATTGCTAATAGGATCCAGGATTACGATTGAACCTATGATCTATGACCTCATTGGGACTTTTAAAAACAGCATTCAGGCCAAATTCCTCTGCCCTCATGTTTTTGCTCTCTAAAAACCAATATTGCCTGGCCTAAGGCAGTCAAGGCCATTTTCAATAATGAGAAGTCTATTGGATTCTCACTCAGGATTCATGATGAAACCTGTGAATCGGCCTTCTAAAAACAACCCTTAGAGCATGTGTGGTTAACTTTTAAATTACCAATGCTTGCGAGTATGTTTTGTGTGTGTTTGCATGTTTTTTGCATGTTTTGCATGGGTTTTTAAGATATTCCATCCTTGGATTTTTTTTTAAAGCGATAACAACATTTATACATGCATGAAGAACAATGTAAAAAAAACTAATCTGTTGGTTTCGCTGTTTAAAGGTTTGATTATTTTGATTTGATGATATCATGTGGTGATGCTCTGTTGGAGCATCCTGACCAGCTGGATTTTGCGTTGTGACTCATTTTGGCCAACCAGTGGTGGACCTGAGGAGTTTGAGGAACCCTGAACTGTCATTGTTTTGTGATTTCAAGTTTTTAATATAAATAACAATGTTTGTCCACTGATGCTCTATCCTTTGTTATTAATTGGCTATAGCCCTTCCTCTTGCTAAAGTTTCCTTTAATAGTTCCCCAGTTTGATTGAGCCAGCATTTTTGTATCTTTTTGCCATTGTGTGTTTTGTGGGCCGGGTGCGGCTTAGGAAAGGAAGCTCATTTCCGGGTTGAGAGTGAGGTCTTGGCTACGATATGGGGTCAGGGTCAGGGTGAGGGGTCCGCCGTGTGGCTTGCTGGGAGATGGGTGACTGTGACCCAGCCCCTCCGGTCTGACCACCGCTCTGTCCCTTTTCATCTCCATGGGCCTGCTGCGGGACACACGGCCAGCACTCGTGACCTCTCACCTTCAACCCCTCAGAATTTGCTGCCAATGCTTTGAACTTCAGTGTAATAATCTCATCATCTCTACATCTGCTGTTCTGTTTTTTTTTTTTATCTTTTCTATCTTCTGCTTCTATATCATTACTCTGCAAAATGCCTCAAAACAAACTCCTCAGTTTTAATATATTCATTTTTATTTTTCCACCCATATGAAACGCCAGGACATGCCTGAATTTTTTTTTTAACAATGTGCATAAACGTTTGTTCATTCTTCTCATTTCACGATGGAGTCTTTTCACATGTTCTTGACATGCCGCCGCTTTGTCTAAATATAAATTAATTGTTGCAGTCCGACAAGCTGTAATATTAGTTTGAGAACTATACAGATAATAGAGTTTAGTTAGTGTGAGCAGTTACCCACTGAAACAAACTGTTGCAGTTGTTCTCTTATGCCTCTGGATCTCGCTGAAATATACATGTGCTGTGGTGGAGAGTGTGGATACTGTGCAACAAAGTTTGCCGATCACCGCAATCTGATCAAACTGCTTGCATTTCTGAAAGAGGAAATGACAGAGTCTCCTGTTTTGCTTGGACATTGTGCTTAAAGGGAGAGTTCACTTTGAAATACATTTTTAAAATGTTTTAGCTTACCTCATGGGCATCCAAGATGTAGGTGTCTTTGTTTCCACTGTATTTTCAATTTTGAGGTTTTTAGGTCAAACCGTTCATGTCTGTCAGTCATTTAATGCAGGTATATGGTCACCACCTCAAAGAGCATGCACAGAGAAGTCCAAATTAAACATGATTTAATGACTCGTAAATGTAAGTACACATTGATGACACAAAACAAGCGGTTTGTGTGAGAAAAAGAACAGTATTTATATCGTTTTTACCTCTTGTAATCACAGCCACGTCCAAGTGTTCTGAGGCCGTGGGCGCTTCTGTCTGCGCAAGTGGTGGAAAGGGGCTGGAAGTGATCTCTCGCACGGTTGCGAAAAAAAAAAATCAACGTTATATGTTGATAGATCGAAATAATCTTACATTGCGATTTCCTGTATATCTAAATATGTTTAGATCTTCGCAGTGAAAGGTAACGCTTCCGAAATCTCTGTGGAAACAATGAGTGACGTACATGCGCGGGATATCACTTCCGGCGCTTGCGCAGGCCAAAGCATCCATGCCCTCAGAACACTTGGACGTGGCTGTGGTTACAAGAGGTAAAAATGATATAAATACTGTTCATTTTCTCACACAAACCGCTCGTTTCGTGTCTTTGGCCATCAATGTGTACTTACATTTACGAGTCATTAAATCATGCTTAATTTGGACTTCTCTGTGCATGCTCTTTTTAATGAACACATGCTCCCTGTCTTTCAATTATAGCTGGCATGTAATCATTATACAGGAAAGCCATATCAATTCCAGTCATTTCTGTGCATTACTGTGTGGCTCAGGCTACAGACAGGTGTGTGTTGGTCTGCTGTTACTTTCAATGCTAGCCCCTGAGGGACAAAGCAGGCATGAGGGCTTACAGGAGGAAGTAACTGATGTCATGCACCAGATATGTGAGGGAGGGGTCAGCCAGAGAACAATGAGACTCAGCGGATCTTAGCATCCATTCAGCTCAGGAAATTTATTGCCCAAAACCGTGTCTGCTGTAAGCTGCACAATGAATTCCTGATGATACTGCTGGAAGGCTTATGGTGTTCTGGCAACCTGGCCAACACACTGACATGAACACATCAATAGTAGAATGGTGCAATGAGCATGTTCAGTAAAAACTATTAACAGACACAAAAGTCTGCGGTAAGGAAAACATGGCCCATTTGATCCAAATATTCAAATGAATTAAGTTGCTGTTTGTTATGAACAACAGTTATTACATTATTAAGTATTGTGTATGGGAACAATTGTGGGGATTTCTGTGCTTTCATTTAATAGCATCTATATTTTTTGTTTATTTGTGTAGCAATGTTTTGATGATTTGACACAAAGTGAACACCTAAACCTAATGGAAAACACAAATAATACTGGATTTTATGTGGAGATTTGTATTCTGGCCAATAATGTAATCTCTTGTATGTTTTTGGCACAACGACATCTCAAAACCACACAACCAAGGGGTTGACTTTGTAAGAACATTTGAGACCGTTTGTTGAGACCGTTTTGCTTTGGTTCAATGTTCTTGGTTGGTGTGGATAATGTCTACCTTCATCCTCTGAAGTGCACATAACCACAGAAAACAAAAGTTAATCAGTCATGAAGAATCTGAACTGAAGTATTTCAGATTTATATCATCCATGGCAGTTTGGAATTGAGTGAAGCAGGACCTTATCTCTGAGAGATTTACAGTTTTCATTCTCTGGGTAAAATTGTCGGATAAATGATGTACTGTTTCGTCTGTCTTGGACTGTTTTTTAATGATAATTTAATTAAGATAATTTCTTTCTTTTACTTGTCTCACATGTGTGCCAGTCACTTGATTTTAATCTGTGGTATATTAAAAGATGGCTTGGCTTCAGATTTTGTTGTTTGGGACAAAAAATTATGACCTTTTTACGTCACGTTTTACGTGAAGTTTTACGTGAAATGCAATTAAGTCTACATACTTTCAAAGGTAACAATTTTTTTAGGAAAATCTTGTGGATAGGGATATAGGATAATCTTGTGCATATATAGACTGACCTGTCAGTATTTGCAAAAATCTTTTTTTAAATAATATTGTTAAACAGTAGTAATAGACACAGTTTTAAAAGCAGGACAAAATTCAGGTCTTCTAAGAACCACAATTGTCTCTTAAAAGTGCATTCATTAAATGATTTTAAGGTTTGGTTTTTATGGTATTAAGCATTAGGCTCTGTTTGTAGTTTAGATTTGTCTGCTAGTTTAGTAAAATCATTTGGACGTTACAAGATTTGGCTAGAATAGGTTTTTACACATGTGTAATGTTTAAGCTGCTGTTTATAACATTAGAGATGAAAGTCTGTCTAGCTTTGCCTACACTTTTGGAAGAAAAGGTTTTAAAGCGCTACGTATTTGGAACCCCTAAAATGCAATGCATGAATGATCACAAAATTCAAGATATATGGGTTAAAAAATGTACTTAATCAATATCACACGAAGAGTGCCATTTCAGTTTTTATCCTTCAAAAATCAGCATGATTAAAATGGGATATTAAGTTACTACAACACTTTAATAAACAATAATTTAATTACAACTGCAAAATGTTGCGGAATAATGTAATTTATGAATAACCTTTGTGCCAAAAGGGTTCTTTCTTGTCATTATCATCATTTTTTTTTTTGCATAAAAGGTCCTTTGCAGTTGAGTAAAGAACCCTATGCTACATAAATAGAACCATTTTTTTCTCAGAGTGTAGTTCCATATTAAAAGTATGAATGCTGTCTTTGTAGGCATTATAATGGACTAAAAGTTTTGTCTTCTGCTACGTGCGCTCTGCTCTTCTGCATTGTCTTTTCATATTTTGCAAGCTGTTGAGTTTCTCCAAGGTGCTTTTTTGTCTACCACTATTCTTCCTGACTTTCACAGGAGCAATATCATCAGTTACACTTTTAACTTTTGAGTTAAAAAGAATCAAGGAGAAAATGCTTGGTTTTAAAGATATAGTCTTTATAAATAGCACAAAAGTGTTCTCATTTAAGCATCTCTTCTTGACAGACACATATTGATCTCTCCTGCCATTTAAACCTAGATGTATCATAGAAAATACAGAAATGATCAGACAGTGCTACATTCTTAATAACAATCGATGAGATGTTTAGAGCCCCACTGATAATTAATCTTGAGTGTGGCCATGGTTGTGTGTTGGACCATGTACATGCTGAGTTAGTTTTGATTTGTTTTACCATATTGGTTTCTGCATTATCTATGTGAATGTCAAAATCTCCAGCAAAGGCAAAATATTCTTTTGAAGGCCTTAGATTTTCTATCATGTAATTGAACCGCAGTAGAGAAAGATTCAGGCACAGTGGGTTCCCACTTGTTTGGAAACATTTAAGAAATTTACTGTTATCATAGCGGGGACCCGACACATACCACTCAGAGCTGGTATCAGTTCTTTTTGATTCCCCTCGAACCGATGGAGAAGGGTGTGAGCCTGGTGCTGTAGCAAAGGGCGAAGAGCTCTCACAGAAGGAGGGGGAGGGCTGGGACCGCAGGCTTTGGTGGTTGTTGGGCCTGCCGTTTTTTGGTTGACATCTGGGGGCTTGCAGCATAAGAGTGGGATAGTTTGGTTCCAGCATACACAGTTTTTTCCAGTTTCTCTGAGAAGCACAGAAGTGGGGATGCTTGAGAGAGGATAACGTGTCTGGGGAGAGAGCCTGTTGCTCTGGTGTTATCGGAGGCTGTAATGTGCCGTCCTGGTTTCAGGTAATAAAAGGAGATCAAATATAAAAATTATAAAAGCGATAGAGCGATAAAAAATATAAAAGCAATAGAGCATGGGTGACTAATCTCGGTCCTGGAGGGCCGGTGTCCTACAGAGTTTAGCTCCAACCCCAATTAAACACACATGAACCAGCTAATCAAGGTCTCACTAGGCATAATAGAAACTTTCAGGCAGGTGTGTTGGACCTGGTTGGAGCTGAACTCTGCAGGACATCGGCCCTCCAGGACCGAGATTGGTGACCACTGCAATAGAGCAAAGCACGGAGCAGTAAGCAAGAGCGTCCAAACAGTAGCTGAGCCGGAAGCAAGGGTGTAGAGTTACATTCAAGATATTTTAAGGCATGAATAAAAAAACATTACTGTAAAAATGTTGAAATATGCCAATTTGGTGATCAAAGATAAGTTTAAAGGTATAAAATTAATAACTACAGGTGAACTTTAATGCATTTTTGCTTTTAATATGTTGTAGTTTAATTATAGCTTTTAGAACTTATATCGAACAGGATTTAATTTTGTTTGTGTGACCTATGTAATTGTCTTTGTAGTTTTAATGAGGCTGGAAAGCACTTTGGTCAACTGCAGTAGTTATTAATGTGCTATAGAAATAATTTTTGTATTGTAGCTTGGAATATTTTCATATTTTGTATAGAACTTCAATACACTGATAAATAATACAAAGATATGACTTTTTAAAATACTTATTTCTGCAGAAAACGTTCATCAAGGCATCAAGATGTGGCATAAAGATGGGGATATTTGCTATGAAGGGGGTGCTTGGCTTTGCTATAGCACCATGGCCCTATGTGTTCTTAATGCAGGCCTGCACCCCTGTACCCCTTATTCAGCACAAATCCAAGTGTTTTCATATTTGCAATTAGTTGTTATACTGTCATTACTTTTGTAAACTTGTACTTATCACATGTCCCAATTTCCACATAAAAGTTGGAAAGTCACGTGCAAGGTTGTTTTTTTTTTGTTGCCTACAACCAACCTGAGTGAATCTAAAGGCCATTAAGACTAATGCAAAAATGCATTTCACAAAAACAAACTACGAATCTCTCTTATGTTCATTTTTTAAATGTATATATGCCTCACAAAAAAAGGTTTGTTGCCCATCAAAATGCTTTCTTGTCTTTTCATTTCTTTCAGATGAGCACCATGCCAGGCTTGCCTACTAGACCCTGTTTCTATGACATTGACCTTGATCCTGTGACTGAGGAGATAAAAGGACTCTTCTGAGGACGTTTATTCTGTCCCATACATGCACTTGACCAGTAAGAACACAACTATGCTTGTCAACAATGACTTAGGTTTTGTGCTTTACTCATGCCACGCCCCAAAAAGATTAGATTTGATTTAATATAGAAAGACCATCTCTCCTTATCCTAATTTTTTGTCCTCTCTCTTTCTTTCCTCCATTCTCAGGTGATCCCCACTGTCCGTGTAGGCCGCCATTCATATGCCAATGATTACAGCTCATCCACTGCCTTCTAAAAATGAAACTACTGAGAGTGTCAATTCTACAATAATAGCTTCCTTTATGAATTATGTATTTAGCAGGTTTTCATTTAAATGTACTTTTAACTGTTTAGACTGAGTTTTAGGCTTTACATTTACATTTTTCTTTCTCTAAGCGTTTGTTTACATAGTGTTTACAATTTAATGATGCACAAAAGCTTTTTAACCCATTCCAGCTTATAACTCCTAATTCTTTAATATTTCTGTTTTATTTGTTTCAGGTTAGTTATGGAGTACAGTAACAGTTTTCAAGCGAACTTCATTTATATTCTTTTTACTTGAAAACCTTTAGCATTCTCCATTTGGAACAGTTAATAATTTAGATCAGTTTCAGATGTTTGTTACAGCCAAATAGGTCATGAATCCAATGTCTGAGGAGCTTTTATTTAGACACTACACAAAACAAAATGATAGGTGTTAGTGATTTGTTTGACACTTCTCTCTCTCTCTCCCTTATAATATAAATGATTATAAATGTACAAGTGTTACATACTTCAGTCTACCCATCTATGCACCTTTTCAGCATGCATGAAAATACATGCCAGAAAATCTTGTTTTAGACATTCCACTGTTATCTGTTATTCTGAGTCTTAAACTACAGTGTGCTACGTGAGTAGAGAGAAGAATTCCATTAACTGTTGCAATAGTTGTGTATGCTTCATAACCTGTATTTTTCCAGTGATGATAGATTGTACAATGAAAAAGGCAGTCAGAAAACAAGATGATTCGCCATAAAAAATAAAACGGTGATAAATAAAACGGTGTAAATACTTTGAATTGGATTGTGAACAATATCATTTTTTTGTTTTTATCGATATGCCACTTTTAAAAAAAGTTTGATAGTCATTATGTGTCTGTGAGAGAATGCATTCGTGATGTGTGCACATGCATGAGTGAGTTAATGAATTGCTAATCCATATTGAGAAGTCAGACTGTTGATCCACAAAGGGGAAATTCCTTCAGATTAGATTCCTTGGTCTTTTATTAGGATAAAGAGCTGTGCTGTATCGAATAGTAGCAGACGACCGGCCCCCACCCAGTCTTTTAATTCTTGTGCCTCTACAGGACACTGTCCAATCAGACACCCTGTGAGGGCAGCGGGTGCTCATTCATACCCCTCTCAATGAGAGGCCTTTTGCTCCTGTCATTTGAAGACACCCATAATTAGCTGACCAACTCAGCTTGACGTTTACTCAAATATTCACACACACAAAAACGTGTAATCTCTTCTTCTAATCTCTTTCCCCACAGAGGACAACCAATGGAGTTTTTGTTTGCCAGGGATCCCAGAATACGGTGGCCACCAGCACGGGCAAGTACATAGGCACTCATGGGGAATACAGAGCGGTGTCGCCCTTCCGTCTATATTAACCCAATGGGCTATATGCACGCATAAGTTCCGCATTTGACGTAAGGATGCTCGTCCATTTCCGGTTGTGTAGATTAAAGCGGAGGAAAACCGGAGAAAACGGGATTATGGCAGAGTCTTCAATATTTACTGTCCTCCCGTCTTTGAAACGAAACGTACATACGTTTAGATGTAATTTTATATATAGTTATGTTTATTTAATATAATTTTAAAAAGAAGCATAAACACAACGAGGGGTGTCTGTTTTATCTGTTTTTGTGACTAACGTTTCATTAGTATAACCATGGAGTATAAAATTCAATATAAATTCTCGGTATTGCATTGGACTCTATGATCGGCGGAAGTTATCGAGCATCCTTAATCCTTCACCGGAAATAACGCCGTGCATAGAGCCCATAGGCCTATATCACACTTCCTGCTACCGGAACGCGAAGTAGGGATACAGAACTTCCGGTCAACGGTATTTCTCGACAGGGTTTAGGATTTTCAGTATTTCTCAAGGATTTAGATTATCAGCCATAATATCTTAACCATCCGAGCAAGCCCTGATTTCTCAAGGGGACGAGAGCCACGTCCCTCCACTTTGTGAATGTACGTGGTGCTAAAGACAGGCCGAATGGCAGGACGTTGTATTGATATACCTGACCGTTGAAGGCGAATCTCAAGAATGGCCTTTGACGGGGTATTATCTGAATCTGAAAATAGACATTTTTCAGATCAAGAAAGATAAGCCAGTCCCACAAGGATTTTTCTGGTCGTTAGCATCTTGAACGATCTTTTCACAAGACCTTTGTTCAAATGTCTCAGATCTAAAATAGGTCTGAGGGCTTCGTCCTTCTTGGGTACGAGAAAATAATGGCTGTAATAGCCTGACTCGCTCAGAGAAGGCAGAACTGGTTCTATGCCCCCTTTGCACTGCAGCTTTGCCATTTCTGCGCGGAGTAGATGTGCTACTTCTACATTGGCTGTCTAAGTGGTAAGCTGGTGCAGTTGCCGCAGGGCAGCCAATGAGCACGCTAGACAGTCTGCTCTTGGTCTGCTATAGCGGCTGCACTGCGTTGACAATGAATACAAAATTAAGGATCATTTTTTTGCTTCAATATCTCAAAGATGAATCTTTCCAGTAGCGTAAACTAACTAATGCAATGCGAGAGAACCTCTTGTAATTGAACTGAACGTTCAACAGCCATTTCTCCTTCAGAAATCATTTTAAAATGGTGATTTGGTGCTCAAAAAAGTGGAGTTATTAAAGTTTCTGCCTATATCAAGCATCTCAAATCAGTCATTATGTTTCAATTTGGTTAAGTTGTTGTCTGGGTCACAGAGATGCTGATTTAATAACATTTTATGGCTGTTCTTTTGACATTTAGACAAAGGCATTTGGAACTCAAGCACTGACATTTTGGCGTCGTCTTTTTTCCCCCCCTCAACAAAAGAAATTCCCTTGTTGGAGAGATGTCACACTTTTTACCACTGATATATACTGCAGATGCGACTCTCAAATGCAGCTATGTTTCTAATTGTTATTTAGCAACCTCTGAGTCTTATTCTACATGCTGTTACAGTTTGTTTTCCACCCTTAGTTTATTCAAGTCATTTAACCCTCTGGATCTGTCACTGTTTGTATAATGTAAGCTACTGTGTGTCTTTATAAAAGCATCAGCTACAAGGCAAATTACTCATTATTTACTAACATTTCTAATTACTTTACTTTGGTTTTCAGCTTGTTACATATTGGGCCTCTTTCTACACTGTGGTCCTGAACATCAAATTATGAATCAATTAAACATGTGTGGTTTAGCATTAATCAATTAAGCATGTATGAGGACAGTGTTCAAGCGTTGTCCTACAGTCTGAACATGTCTTTATCAAATTACTTTGAGTTCACAAAATGCGTGTAAAGCACTGCTCTACATAATAAGATAATAGTGTTTTGAGGATAAAAAAAAAGATTATGAAGGCGCTCTGATTTGCAGTACAGGTCTTTTTTTTTTTAATTATAGATTTAACTATGTGTTCAAAACACCACCACAAACTACTGCCTCTAAATAGGGGCTGGGTATTTCTGAAAAGCGAACATGCCTTCTGTCTATTTTTGTATTGTTTTTCCCTCTTTTTTTGTCTAAGTTATTCTATAACAATGACCAAACTTTTGCACAGCACATATAGGCATCCACAGGAATGGTCTTTGCATAACATAAACATAATCAAATGACACAACCTGGTCCCTTATATACTGCTTAAGAAAACAATGCTTTATGTATTTTAATACAAAGCCTTTTTAATCTTAACCCTGGGTGGTGTTTATTTTTCTGAACACAGAGTGAGTGTATCGCACCACAGCAAAGTGGCTTGTTGATTCGCAAGTGTAATTTACACATTTAAAGATTCTAAACAACATGCATTGGAGCGGAGCCAAATATGCAATTAAAGCAGAGACAGAGAAACCTCACTGCATGGTTGGTTTAGGCATCCATGATGTGGATGTAAACTACAGTGCCCTCTTAATTCGAGATTTCCTGTGGGACATGTTCCAAGGGCCTGTTTTTCTGTAGAGGCCCATACGGCACCCATGTTGACATTCCCACTGTCTGTAAATAAAACCAGGAACCAGGGCAAAAGCTTACTTTTTTTTTTTTTTTTATAATTGTAGCTGCATGCCAGTGAAAAATTTATATTTTAATTATAAAAAACTTATTTACAATTCATGAGAATTATAAATGACAGTATTGTTTATAATGAGAAGTAGTGTTTATAAATAGAAAGTAGGCTACATTTGAAGAGTTCAGATGCAAAAGCCTCTAAATGCCATTTGAAATTTTCTCTTTAATGATGATTTTTATCAAACTTGTATATCTAAGTTCAGTAATTTCACTTAAATGGCAATGATAATTACCTATTAATTGTTATTTAAGTGAAATTACTGAACTTAAATATACAAGTTTGATAAAAAATCATCATTAAAGAAGAAAATTTCAAATGGCATTTAGAGGCTTTGCATCTGAACTCTTCATTTATATATACCAAAATGTCGGTGTGTATATATAGCCTACAACTACCTGTATATTTTAATTAATTAAGAGAAAAATTTGATTCAGATAATATAGTTATGTAATGTAACATTCACTAACAAGATTAAATCTATTACAAACTAGTATCTCAAAATTGTATTTTGTCCTAAAATTTCAACTTTGCCTCAGAGGCTGCCTCGGAGGTTGGTAGCCATATAGTACCTTTCTAAATGGGGTTACAGTCCCAGGTCTCACCCTGGTTTGATGCTGTAAGGCGTGTCTGGCTGCTCTCCATGTGATACTGATGGGAGGAGGGCTCCTAAAAGTGAACCTACAGACCCGTTTCAACACTTTCCAAAGCAGACAACCCTCGGGACGGACTGCAGGGCGCATTTACAAGGGCTATTGGATACCTACTTCCTTTTTAACGCTCATTATTTTCCTCAGAGTGGAGAAACAGCGACGTTATTCATCATGGGAGCGACATCATCCGTGCAGCGGGACGCGAAGAGCCCTGAAGATGCGCCAGAGGATATCAGCGCGGAGCTCAGCGACGCTCAGGATGGAGAAACCCTAGATGGCAAGGTAACATTACGCTTGAAAAATAAATATTATCGTTATGAGCTGGCGTGTGTGGGGATAAAAGAGGGGTAAATCGCCGAACATGCTCATCTGTATCCCCGTTCGGGACCCCTTGAGTCAGATGCGTGGCGCAGCTAGTTATTGAGCTTTGCTTTATGTAAACACCTGATACCTCCTGACAGCTAGCTGGGACTGCGTTTGTGTGATTCGGCTTAGCAGGTAGTAGACCTATTTGAAAACATAGAAACCTGTTTGCTTATGCATGTTCTTTACGTTTTATTTTAAGTTTAATGAGTAGATTTGCAGTAATGCAGTCAGATTGACTCCACCAGTTATTAGCTACATCAGCGGTGTGATATTTTCCTTTCTTCAATTCTTTATTTATTTTTGTCCAGAGACAACAATGTCAGATTTCGTCAGGAACAAGAAAATTGAGATATAAATGCATTTCTATCTTGTTCCCAATTCCTCATGATGAAGGTGGATGTTATCAATATTTTATGACGTGGATCTCTGTGGCTCTTTGGTAGACCTGTGGTTGAATAAGTTATTTGTTTGACATCATACTAGAATTATCATTCAAGCAATTCTGCCTTTAAATATATTATTCAAAAGCAGTAGTGCTGTCAATAGCCTAACATGAGGCTGCAGGTCAATCGAAGTCTTCCTGATATTTATCACCACCACACAAGTGTGATAATAGCCTACTTTTATAGCCTACAGGAGTTCTATGAGTTAGATTTTAAAAGAGAAAATAAAGTCAAAATTGGCCAGTTAGTTTGTAGGCTATGTTCGTATTTGTAGGATATTTTCTA